ATCACGTACCTCAGTTTGGATTTCACCCGACTTAATGGCCATATTGGCTTTGGCCTTCTTCGGGTAGGGACATTCCCTCGAGAAGTATCCCGCTTCACCGCAGTTGTAGCATACGTTGTTTCCCACACTACTAACCGACTTGCCTTTCTTATCCGTAGGTTTGTTTCTTTTTGCTTGACTCCCCCACGTACTCGCTTGCTGGCCACCGGATCTACCTTTCCGGAACTCCAAGGACTCATTCTTAGAGAAACTCTTCTTGAATTTCCCTTTGTTATATGTTCCCCTTGGTTTGGCCCCTTTGCTAAACGTGGACCCCGACCCCGTCGTGTTTCCCTTTCACAGGTTATCATTGAAATACACCTTGATAGCCGCATCCAACGCTTTTTTGTAATTGCTCGGGTTCCAACACATCACCTCGCCGCAAGCCCAAGTTTGCAAGCTTGATATAAAGGCATGGAACGCATCCATATCACCCATATCCGTGACTAGTATCCTCTTTGTCATAAATCCATTCACATACTCTTGAATGGTTCTGGTTTGCTTCAGCCTACTTAGCTCATCCTAGGTGCAGAGTAGCATTCGGAGGAACGTATGTCACGCGGATCCTCGCCTTCATCATTTCCCAAGTGGCCACCGGTCCTTCGTTGGCCTCCGTCGTTCTCCACCAAGACTTGGCATTATCCGCCAAGTATGGTTTTGCACATAGGACCTTCTCCGAGCTTGGTAACCGCAATGCACGAAAGTAATCCTCCATATCGTAAAACCAATCCTCCACCACCTTATAATCGTTCACTCCCTTGAAGACCGGTGGGGGCTTTGGTTTGTACTTGGGAACTGCCTGAGGGATTGATTCCACTTCGGTCTGTTTGACCTTGTTTGGTTTTGCCTCAGTCCCTGCCGAAGGGTCCACACCTTCTGCATTGCCAGCATCCGCAGTCTTTTGCCTTTTCTTCCGCTTCTAGTCACGCTTTAACTTGTGTACGAGAGTCTCCAGCAAGGCATTGGTCTGTGCCAATTGTCCTTCCAGAACATTCAATCGAGCCTTGGACGACCGAACCTCACCACCGGACTCCTGTTTGGAAGTTTCCTCACTAGAGTCCTCCTCATGCAAGGATTCCTCATCCATAGCCTCTTGTTTGACCGGAGGCTCCAGCTCTGGATGAGGTTCTGTCTCCACCTTGATTCGTTTCTGCCCTACCTTTGCCATCTCCCAACAATCCGCCTCTATCCTTCACTATAACTAAAGAAAAGGCTCTGATACCAAATTGTAAGCCACAAATTTTTCCTTTCCAATTTATCAGCTTATCTAGTCTATCCAACCAACACTGCCTTGGCTTTTGCTAAGTTCCCTCGCCAAGGTTCCCACCTATTGTACTAGTTCCTACTTGGTCCTACTTGGTTTCAACTACGCACTGCACAAGCAACGAAGTGTTAACCATCCATCCACAAATTCCCAAATCTCTCCCAATCCCCATCCCCGGGTTAGACTAGACTTAAGGTTCAGCTACACTCCCCGCAAGCACAAGCAGCCAAGCACACCAAGCCTCCAGGTTCCTAACATCCTTTGGTACCACAAGACTTGATTATGGGACCCTCTAAATCCCAAACCTTGGATGTAACACTTGCTTCGGGACACCGGGGCAAAACACTGTGGCCTAACGGCCGGGTATGGGTACCTCTACCCCCCACTTCCATCCCAAAGGGAAGGCCCAAGCCCCTAGGAAGGGCGAAGACCAATGAGCCACAAGGTACTCAAGTGGGGCACCACTCCATATGAGCCGGGAGCACCATAGTTGGTTTCCCTTTCGGGAGTGGGAGCTGCTCTTGAGCACTTCCTTGGGTGGCCCTTCCGGCACCACCCGAGTTCATGCTCACTCCCACCCAAAGCCCCTCGGCCCCAGTCTTTACCTCAAGTCAGTTTGGAAGCACCACTGAAGAGTTCCTTCAAGACTGGTTCCTGGACCTCACTATCCCTACTATACTTTTGGAACCCCCTGCAGCCCCTCCCCCCCCCCCACCCCCCTCGGGGAGACGCCCGCTTTGGGCTTTCCCCCCTTGACCTGTATTAGTACTCGGACTCAGTCTCAGACTCGATCTCGGACCCGATCTCGGACCCGACTTCGGACTCGGTCTCGAACTTGATCTCGGACTCGATCTCGGACCCGATCTTGAACTCGACTTTGGACTCGACCTCGGACTCAATCTCGGACCCGATCTTGGATCTCGGACTCTGTCTCAAACTCGGTCTTGAACTCAGTCTCGAACTTGGTCTCCGAGTCAGCCTCGGACTCGATTCCTGACTCTATCTTGAACTTCGTCTTATAGTCGGTCTTAGACTCGATCTCAGACTCGGTCCCACCTGATGAACTCTTTATCATTTCAGTCATGCTTTCGGGGATCCTTTAGCCTACGACACCTCGGGGAGTTGGTTCCTTACACCTATTTACAGTAGTCTATCTAAACCTTACCGACAGGTTTGGTTTCTTTGCTCATGAGGGTTGGGGCCTGTGGCTTCTCTCTCTATGTCTTTGCGGGCAGGGGCATATCACACTTTTGTAAGATGGGTGACACCTAAAACAGCAAGGGTGGCTAACTCCGTTAGTCATTTCCTTGTCGGCAATGGCCGGAAGGTGTTTGAGTGGGTAGTGCATCCGCGTTAGATAAAGAGGTTACCCCAACTCATTTAAGTTGGTGCATTTCTCATATAGTGTGAATACCGTGAACTTTTTCTGGAGTTGTTTCCTTGGCGGTATTCTAGACTGGAGTATGCATCGACGAAGACGTTGATCTTCCCTAGGGGGGGAGAGTGTCGCGAATGTGACTTCGGGTATCGAAAGTTACCTGTCGGCTAATCCTTTCGGATATTCTTTCCTTACTGCCATGACGGCAAGAGGTCGGTATTGCTGGGCCCATTATTAGTTCCCACTTGAGCTAGTTGAGAAACTAGTCAATGACCATGCACTTAAATCGGATAAACATAAGGTAGGAACCCTATGTGTTTTTTGCCGAGCATACTTGGCCTAGATTGAGAAACTCCTGTCATTGGCTTGCACTTGCTAGTATCAAGAACCCCTGCAATATTGAGATTGGTCCCTCAATATTCACTAAATAATAGCTTACCATGTCTGCAAAACACCCTCACTATCATGCCTTTTGTGTTAGTCTCATTTTGGTCCTAAATGCTATTTATGGAAAGTGTATAGATTTGCTCATTTAGCATATCGACGGATTCCATATTTAGTAAGTTTCGAGCTTGTCCTAGAAACTAACTCTTGATACTAAAGGAGGCTTGGGGTGAAAGCCCAAAGCGTGTGTTCCTCAAGGGGGGGGGGTGGGGGGGGTTTCAAATGTATAGTAGGGATAGTGGGTAGGTTGAGCATAGCCAACTAACTTGAGGCATAGTTTAGCTCCCACTTGCGTGCCTGTCCTTGTTCTACGTTTAGCTTGGGTCTAAGCCCAAGTTCCATTCCATGCTAGCTGGTGGAGTACCCATGTCCTTGCGTTAGGCCACCGGTATGCCGAAATAGTACCAGATTCTGTTTGACTCCGTTTTGCATGCTAGTCTTGGCAAAGGGATGTTGGTTTCTCTAGGACTGTTCCAAGTCGCTCTGGGCTCCTATCCCTTCACTCCTTGGGCTGTATGCTCGAGAGTTGCTCCGTGATTCAGTTCCATCACTCATTGGCTCCATGCTTGGGAGTTTGGCACCATTCCTTCGTTTAGTGGCCCAAGGCCCTGAACCTTGGGTTCCACATATGAAGTTGTTTCTTGCTGTGGTCCTTATGTAACATGGTTATGAATGGAGAATGCCACCTTAGGCACATAGAGGGTTTCGGTTCCACTTCGTGGTGTTATCCTATAGTAAATCACCATAGGATAAAGGGGAAAAACCACATGCGCTACATCAAGTATAACTATTAAGAAGAAAGCAAGTGTAAATTCAAGGCAAAGTGCTGCCATTATAAGTTCTCACTTAAAGCTCTAATACTTGCCACATAAGAATTGCTTATGATTGCCTGGGATGCATACCATATTGGTTTTTGATGCCTTTTCTTTCGCTTTAGATAGTCTTTGAGGAATTCATTTTTCTTTTCTTCTTTCTCTCTAGGAAACACTTATAGCAATAGTTTGAAATAGGCATTCTAATGATGTTCGTGACTCCTTTGAAATGTAGGGGGGTGAGCAATGGGATCACACTTAACACCAAGGTGTTCCAGAAGGCAATTGATCACATTGGCAGCTTTGGCGAGCTGGGAGGCATGATGATCAGCTCACCAGATGCTTCAATCTCATGAGCCACATGATTTTCTTCTTACAACAGGATGCCACAATCCTCACCTCCAAGGTAAGAAGAGTTCTAGCACGGAAAATAAAAAATGATTTTTTCCTGGATTTCTTCGCTAGGATCCTTAAGATTGGCCTGTGCTTGATCCATTGCCATTGTATAGGTGAGGAAGAGAGCTTCCAAGGAAGAGATACACAAGCTTGCATCAATCACCAATGTTGCAATTGGGTATCTATAAATGCTTAGTGATCAATTGAAAAACACTTGATTTTTCCAGGAAACAATGGCACCATTGATGGCCAAGGCCTCATCTGGTGGAACCAATTCCAATCCAAAACCCTCCAGCACACCCAGGAGCCATTTCTCTGGCTCTGAGTAATATTAATGTTCTTAAACCTTAGTGTTACATATTTATTCATAAACACACACACACACACACACACACACATATATATATATATAACATAAAAATATATTCATATCCTTTGCTTATACTTTGCATCTAATATTTATAAAAAGTATATATTCTATTTTAATTTTTTCTGAGTTTATTAATTTTCTTAAATCTTAGTATTCTAATCTATATTCTATATATATAAAGCGATAAAAAGGGGAGACTAATCTCAGGCCAGAGAGAGGCTCATTGTGGGTGAAAGCCATGGATTAAAGAGACATGCATTGGTTCATGAGTTTGAGACAATCACATTGCACTTAGGATAAAAGAAATCTACTTACTTTTAGCTTCGTCCAATGGTGATGAAGGATGATATTGGCTATGCCACATAGAGTTTAGGGTTGCCCACAATCATTTGGAATTGGCACTTCTATGGCTGCTACATCACAGCTTGATGCTTCTACTTCTAGTTGACTAACACTAGAATTACTCCAGAACTTCCAGGATCGTTTTTCTTTCAGCACGAATGTGCAAGTGTCTGGATGATATCCAAGACGGCCTCTGGATCTTCGTTCTTGAACACGAGCTGCCGGAACTCGTCCGCAAACGCGAGCTGCTTGATGTTCCTGGCAATGCACTCGATGCACACGCGCTTCAAATGGTTGGCATCGTAGAGCCGCGCGTTTTGCAGCACCTCGAGCGCGTTGGAAGCATGAACCGAGACGGCCGTCTCGCAGATCTTCTTGAGGTCCGGGATGTCGTACTTGTGAGCCGCGGCCAACAAGGCCATCCCGTGATCCTTCATAACTTTGGTGTCATGCTCCCCTGGAGAAGTAGCGAGGAGATCGAGCTCAAGGAAAATAAAAGGGAGACAGCGAGAGAGGTTGATCGAATTTCACCTGTGTACAAGTAGAGAAGCAAAGCGCGCATGGCTGGCGTGGGAACATCAGCGACGCGGATAACAGCACAAGTCTTCTCTTTGAGCTCGTGCTCAAACATGGCATTGAAAACCGGGGATCGACTCGCCTGGAGAGAACGAAGAACACAAAGAAAAACTCCTGTGTGCAAGGGCAACTTAAGAGATACGGAAAGCATACCAGGACTGCTCGGTGTGCCGGAGTGGTATCACCATCGCCAGTTTCGATGGTCACGTCGGGATGAATGGCCTGGAGTAGCATCGCTCGGAAAGCCGAGACCGTGGCCTCGAGCCGCCGGATGTTGGCTCGCTCCCGCTGGAGGACTAGCTCGGCACTCTGGAGGCTGCTCTCCGTGTTCCTCCAGCGCTGCTCATTGCGAAAATCGCTCTGCGAGCGCTGCTCGAAGCACGAGTGGCAGTATGTGAAGTTGTTCTCACAGAGCTGCCCGCACTGGTAGCACACGGACACCTCCTCGTCGGCCGCACAAGGGATGACCTCACCGCCCAGGCCGTCCGCCAAATCCATGCTCACGCTGCATTCTTCCAAGCATCTCAAGTTTTAGAAGCGTGAGCTCGAGAAAGTAAAAGGTTCACAAAACTCTTTGGAACGAAAGCATTCATCACGCTGCATTCTTCCAAGCATCTCAAAAGTTTCACATAACTCTTATCTCAAGTTGTAGAAGAGTGAGCTTGAGAAGCTAAAAGTTTCACAAAACTCTTTGGAACGATGACGCTGCATTCTTCCAAGCATCTCAGGTTTTAGAAGAGTGAGCTCGAGAAACTAAAAGCTTCACAAACTCTTTGGAACAACAGGTAGAATGAAAAGATCCAGTGCTAGCAATGCAAGAATTTCACATCGTCGTAACGGGCATTGCGAGGACTTACCGTCGCGGAGCTGGATCTTGAGCCGGGGCGCAAGGCGCACACCATCCCTAGAATCTCTCTAACCAAAAACCCTACTTTGTCAAGGGGTTCGAGTCCCTTCCCTCCCGGAAGATATAAGGAATAAAGTTTGATTCCTGCGCGCGCCATCGCAGTTAGGTTTAGGGCTCGCTGGGCGCCAGCCGTGCGGCGATGATCGATCGAGCATGAGCATGAGGATTCCGGAGCTGCCGTAGCTGGAGCAATGTACCACCACCACCGGGATCGCGATGAGGAGGCCGGATTGGGCGAGGATGTCGGGACCGAGGACATTGGAGCCCCGGAGACGCTCATCGAGGAGCCGCTGGAAGGTGAGACAATTGCTAGGAAGGATGTTGAGGTCCGGGACGGTAGCAGGATTGTGGTGCAGCGCTTGGGCAGCATTCCGTCCTTTGGCCGGGAAATTCCGGTCGTTCGGATTGTCTCCAGCGAGCACGAGCAGCAGCCCTCGACGTCTTCCTCGCTTCCCAGCAGTGATGTAGAGAGCCAGGTGGAGGATTCTGGCAGGAATGCCGAGGGAGGAGAGACTTTGGCAAGCTCTAGTGGTGTCTACCGGGAGGATGATGAGAAAACGAGCACCAGCGCCGCCACCATCAGGGAGGAAGCTGAGTTGTCTGGGGCAGATACGAGGACTAGTACTGCGGCTTTCAAGAGGCCGGAGATCTCCGATCTAAAGTTACCATCTTCTCCGCATCCCACCATCTTGGAGAAAGTACCGTCAAGGAATGCTGAAGAGAGCGAAGATGAGAGTGAAGGAGAGGAGGCCGCTGATCAGGAGGTGAACAACCTCTTGACGAGTCCGCTGGCCGGGACTGTTTTGAGCAAAACCAAGGCACGCCTTCAAGAGCCTCCGCCGATAACTCCGGCCGTCAAGGACCAAATCGCCGACTCTCTCCATCTCAAGCGAGCTGCGACAACGTTAACTCCATCGTCCGAGGCTCACGCGGCTCCTCTTCCGGATCACCACCACCAGCAGCAGCAGCAGCAGCAGCAACAGCAGCAGCAAGGCTCCACGACTCCCGGGTCTTTTAAGCAGCCAAGCACTCCGCTTGCGAAGCAGCCGAGCCTTCAAGCCAACCCAGACGATGACGATCCTTTGGAGGATACAATTATTCCAGAGTACAAGGAGAAGCTGAAGAAGGATGAGAGTTTTTTTTGGGTGGTCTGCCAGTGGGTTTGCTTCGTGCTCCTGGTGACGCTGCTGATATGCTCCGTGAACATCAAAGTTGTCAGGGATATCACTTGGTTGGGTGACAATATCTGGAGATGGCAGGCTGTTGCTCTTGTCATATTTTCTGGAAGGTTGATTGCCGGATGGGTTGTACAGGTTCGTTTATCGTTTTCTTTCTCTCTATGTCGATCGTTCTAAAGCCGTGTTTGTTTACAGGCGTTCGTGCTTCTAATAGAAAAACGCTTTCTCCTCAGAAAACGTGTACTTTACTTTGTCTATGGCTTACGAAAGTCCGTGAAAAACTGTATCTGGCTGGCACTTGTCATCACGATCTGGGAAACGGTGTTCATAGAGCGCGACTCCAAAGCATTGCGCGTGATCACAAGGGTAATTTACTTCTACCGTACTGGATGGGTGACGTTGATACTCTTTTCTTTTGTAGATACTCTGGTGCATTTTTACTATTTGCCTGTCCTGGATGATCAAAGTTTTGGCTGTCAAAGTGGCAGCCAATGGATTTCACCGATCAGCATACTTTGAGAGGATTCAGGAGTGCTTGTTCAACCAGTACTTGCTGGCTACACTATCGTCGCCACCTACAATGCAAATCACCGCCGATCCCACTGGAGGAGAGGAGTTAATAACTTCCAGATATAATCCTCAGTCGCCCAACAAGATGCGCAGGCTGATGACCAGGATTCCGTCTGGTCAGGAAGCCACTGTTGGAGAAGGGTCGCCCAGACTCCAGGCTCCTATTATTGCGAGGAGCGCTAATCCCATCGAACAAGATAAGTTGCAACAGCTGACTTCCGAGGTAATTTCAAATGTATCAACGCAAAGCTGGTTACTAAACTCCACCGTTTCTTTGCAGAATGTATCCGCCTGGACATTAAAGAGTCTAATGAAGCTTATCCGGAAGAAAAATCTCGCAAGTTACTCCGCACAGTTTGCCAAAAATGAAGGCGAGTGGGAGATCGACAGTGAAGTACGAGCTAAAGCTGCGGCCAAGCAGGTGATCACACTTTATTTCCAAGATTTTTTAACTGGTGACCAGAACTTTCTGTTTGACTACAGATTTTCTATAACATTGCCAGGCCAGGGAGGAAGTATCTGATGCTCAGGGATTTTTTATACTTCTTGCCCGAGGACAAAGCGAGTCGAGCTTTTGCTCTCTTCGAGGCAACTGAAAGTGGGACAATTACCAAGAAGGCTTTCGTGAAGTGGGTGGTAAATGTTTACAAGGAGCGGCGGGCCCTTGCTCTGACCTTGAACGACAACAAAACGGTTGTCGCCAAGCTTCACAGAGTTCTAAATGCGGTACATTTCTCTCGCTTCAACAGAATTAAGATCCAAAGGTGATAAGCGTCAAAGTGATTTTTCTTTTAGCCACGGCTGATGGACTCGTGTTTCTTCTCCGTAGGTACTCGGCATCGGTCTCATCATTGTGTCGCTCCTCATCCTGGGTGTTGAAACCGCCAAGTTGCTGGTCTTCTTTTCCTCGATATTTATTCCCTGCGTTTTTATATTCGGCAATGCGGCACGGACGACGTTTGAGGCACTTCTTTTCCTCTTTATTCTCCATCCGTATGACGTTGGCGACCGGGTGAGCGTTGACGGGACGATGATGCTGGTAGAGGTAAGCAAATGAGAGAGAGAGAAAAAAAGAAAGTCTTGGTTGTAGAAAAGTGTTTTACGGTTCTGGGTTGCTTTCAGGAAATGAACGTCCTCAACACTGTTTTCCTCGGGTAAGTCTCTCCACCGTTTTTCTGGTTAGATACTAAAACCATTTTCCTTCCGCCGCAGTCCTACGAACGAGAAAATATACTACCCGAACGTCATCCTGGGGACCAAGTATATCACAAACTACTACAGGAGCCCCGACCAGTGGGACGGAATCGAGTTCCAAATACACATGAACACGCCGCTGGAGAAGCTGGGCGCGCTCAAGGAGAGAATGCAGAGATACGTGGACAGCCAGCCGCAGTTTTGGTACCCGGACTTCGGCCTCATGTGTAAGGACATTGACGATTGCAACAAGATGAAGATGGGATACTACTTCCAGCACCACCTCAACTATCACGTAAGTCTCTCCATTCCATTCTCCAGGGATCGATAGCCCTTCTCTCTTTTCTCTTTTGGATCAAACCAGGAGGCCGGCGAGCGATTCAAGCGCCGGAGCAATATGCTGCTCTACATGAAGCAGCAGCTGGAAGATCTGGAGATAAGTTACCAGCTTCCATCGCAGGAAGTCATCGTGACTGGGATCCCAGCGTTTGCGTTCCCCCAGCCACCACAATCAGGTACAGTGTCGCCCGCTAAGCTATCCCCGAGCAAACTGGCACCGTATAGCTTCGCAAAGTAGTCGTTCTTTCCTTCTAGAGAAATAAACCATCTTCCATAGTGAGATCTGGGCCGTTGTCGAGCCGACGGCTGCGATGCGCCCATCTGGCCCGTCGAGATTCCAACGGGTCAGATCCGCCTAGTAAAGTAGAATATCAAGCAATATGGGTTGAAGCGATAGGGAGGGAAACAGTAGCGCTAGGGCTTTCCGCGAGTCGATCCAACAGGTGCGTCGTGGTTCTGGGATCGATCTGGAAGGGCGGGGTGGAGCTGGATAGTTGAGGATTTCAAGAGTGATCCATCCATTCCCCCAATGGCGATTTTGTACGCGCTCGTGGCGAGGGGGCAGATTGTGTTGGCGGAATACGCATCGGTTCCTGGCAATGCGCACACGATCGCGCGCCGGATCCTGGAGAATTTCCCTCCCGGTGGCGACAGCCGAATGTCCTACTCGCAGGACAGGCACATCTTCCATGTAATGCGCTTGGACGGGCTCGTCTTCCTCTGTATGGCATCCGAGACTTTTGGAAGTAAGTCCATGATCATATCTTCTCTTCCAAGCTTGTTCTATCCTTTTTCTCACATTGCGTTTGTAGGAAGGATCCCGTATGCGTTCCTGGAGGACATCCACACCAGGTTCACGAGAACTTACGGAAGAGCCGGGCAGACCGCGCTGTCGTACGCCATGAACGACGAGTTCTCGCGGGTTTTGCACCAGCAGATGGATTTCTTCTCGAACGATCCCAACGCCGACGCGATCAACCGGGTGAAGGGCGAGATCACAGACGTGAGTCCCTTGCAAAAACCATTCTTGAGTAACGATGCGGTGCGTCCGTGATGATCAGGTTCGCAGCATCATGGTCCAAAACATCGATAAGATCCTGGAGCGAGGCGACCGGCTGGAGCTGCTGGTGGACAAAACAGCGCACATCGAAGACAACGCTTTCCGGTTCAAGAAGCAAGCGCGCAAGGCGCGACACGCACAATGGATGCAAACGCTCAAGCTCTCGTAAGCCTCGCTTCCTGATCTCTACGTGTTCCATCGACGTGTTGCTAATGCATTTAATATCTGCTTTTTGGCCGGTCTCGCAGGGCGTGCCTCGCGCTTGTCATCCTCGTGCTCATCTTCGTTGTTGTAACATTCTTCTGCGGGGGGATAACATTCCAGTCGTGCAGATAAAACCCCGTGTGTAAATTCCATAAATACGCCGGATATGCTGATTCGCAGAATGTCTTTTTAGGGTTTAAGATATGCTATGGAATATGCTTTTGGATTATATTTTTAGAATATTCTATGCGTTTAGGTATATTCTAAATTATACGCTTTTTCAAGACACTCGTAGTCTAAAGTTGGAAATCTATTCATTTCTTCTTCTGCTCTTTTATAGAATTACACCCCTGGACTACGTTGCCGCAGGGAGTTTTAAACTGCTGTGCCGTGGCTGTGCTGCCTCTTTTACGCTACAAAGTCATGCAAAAGATGGCCCTCCATATGCTGCTGCTTGCGGCCTTGGCTATAATCAATGCCGCCGCCGCCACCACCACCACCACCACCACCTCCTCCTCCTCCTCCTCCTCCTCCTCCTCCTTGCTCTCCTCCAATGTGTGCGTGCTGGTGCCCGGCATTCAACCCGGCCGCGGCGGCGTTCTCGTAGATGTTGCACAGCTCGCTTCCATGGTCTCCTCCAATCTGCTGGTGGTGCTGAGTGTGGCCGCGACTCACCGCCAGGAAGTTTTGGTGGCCGAGGAACGACTGCTGCGCCGCCGCCGCTAGCTGCTGCAGCTGGCTCTCGTGGTTCCTCAGCCCCAGCGTGAGCGACACTCCACTGCTCCCCGGGTACTGCTGCTGCTGCTGCTGCTGCTGTTGCGACGAAAATCCGCCACCGTAGGACGTCCTCCCAAACCCCCTGCTCTGGTCGTCGAAGCCGTGATCCGAGTGGAGCGGCCCGTTTTGCGCGGCGGCATAGTCCACAAAGTGCCTCTCCAGGGAGCCTGGCGGCGGCACGCCACACATGATTCCCTCGCCACCGTCGTGGCTTTTCATCTCCACGTCCAGACCTCCTCCAGCGTGGTGGTGGTGGTGACCATGGTGGTGGTGGTGGTGGTGGTGGTGGTGATCCGCCAGCATTCCCACCGAGTCCTGGATCCCCAGCCTCGTCTTCTTCACCTGTTGCGCCCCTGAGTCGGCGGCCCCAAACATCTGTACCGAGTCCGCCTTCCTTATGGACGCCAGCATTCCATACTCGGACGCGTAGCTCTGCTGCTCGGAGCTCCCGTCCAGCTGCATCAGCCCGGCCCCCATATCGCCCCTGTCGCTCCGGTCGCTCGTCAGCGAGTCCCCTCCAACTCCATCATGGTTGTGCCGCTCGTCTGGATCTGCCAAGAGTCTGGCGGACGCCACCCCGAGCTCCTGCTCTTTAATCTCCTCCTGATACATTTCCTCGACCATAGGCTTCCAGAGCCGGACTCGGGCATTAATAAACCAGTTGGAGACCTGCAGAGATTCCACAGCAAGTTAAGCCACAACAAGAAGCTTCCGAGGACAAAAGCTTTTTTTTAAAGCACGCACCTGGCCTCTCGTTAGACCTGTCTGCCTAGCGAGCATCATTTTATCTGCGTCTTTGGGATACCTGTGAAGCAAAAGAGAGAACGTGTCAAGCACGTCAAAGACATCCCATGCGTGTGGCTATACGCGAAAAAGCTCAAGGACTTACGGATGCAGAAAGTGTTCGAATAGCCACGCTCGTAGAATGGATACCGATCTCTCCGGCAATCCCCGTTGAGGGCGCCATGCATGCTGCTGCAGCATTCCGTATTGCTGGTACGCTCGCTGCTGGCGGATTTGTTGATCAATAAACCGCAGCCGGGACGTGAGAGGCCTGCTCGTAATGCTCTTCGTCACGTCTTCCTCACCCAGAGCCTTGCACGTCGTTTGGATCTGGCCTGTTATAGCGTCCCGGAGGCACCTGAAGTAGCGAGACATTGCTTGCAGCGCGAGTGCTGTGTATGGAGTCGCGGCGCCCGCGCCAGCAACAGCATCGAAGGAAGTGATGACCACCTGCATTTGGTCATAGTATTGCCGATAACGCCTATCAACCTGCAAATTTTTCATCGAAGCTACAGTAAGTAGATAGTTGGAAGTCAAGAGCAAGAAAAAGAGAGACAGTACCTCCTGAAGCATAGCCAAAAGTTTGGTCTTCTTGCCTTCGTACTCCTGCCTTTCATCGGGCGTGAGCACGGATACATTTTCCTTGCTCTCCGCGGTGTTAGTAGAGGGTGCGACTGTCGAGACGGTAGCTGGTCCTGTACCGGGACTGGCGACGGCAGATGATCCTATGGTAATTTCGCTTTTCACTGAATTTTCCGTTAGAGCAGCCTCTTTGTGCAAGGAACTTGTGACTGCAGCTGGACTGCTTTGACCACCCAAGCCTTGCTGCGATCCTTTACTTTTGGAGCTTTGCTTGAGGCCCCTCCCCACGCTGCATACCTCGTCCAGCAGCTGCTGCGCGGCTCTCAAGTACCGACTGCCGGACACGAAGCTGAACGAGTTGGACACTGCAGATGGTCCTGGACCTGCTACGTCAAAGTAAGAATGCTTGGTGCCCGCGCTGCTCGGCAAGTTGACGTAACTTGCACCACCATCCCTGGGCGAAGTTCTAAAGTGGCTCAGGTCCCCCGAAAGCTTGCCCACGCCTCGTTTCGCATCTTGAGAACCACCTGGTGAGTTCATCCCCGGTTCACGCGCATGAAGCTGAGCGTTCTGATTTGACAGGGAAAGCGAGAGGCTCTGGTGATATCCCGGTCCAGCGGCCGCTCCTTGATGAGAATTATCCATCTCCAGGCGATGGCCAGCTTGCAGCAAGGACTGTTGATGCTGCTGTCCCAGCATGGATGAAAGAGAAGGCTGTCGTAGAGCGTAGTCGGAAAGTTCGGTTATCTGGTTTAAGCCGCTCGGCTCGCCGCTTATCGACTTTCGCTGCTGGGTGGCCTCGCTGGATGGCAGAAAAAGAAACTCGTCCCCTCCGTTTCTCCAGTTGTATGTACTGTTGGCTCCACCTCTCGAAGCAAACGCACTGGAGGGAAGACCATTGCCACCAGAGGCATCCTGCTGCGATAAACTGGGCTGCGTGAGTGGAATTCCTATAAAGTGAGACTGCCCAGGTGCGCTGCCAGTCAGCTGACTGCTCTGAACCGAGCTCCCGCTCGAGGGACTGATCAACACCATGCCCCCGGGCGTTGAAGGATCCGAGTAGCCCGAATAACCCGTGAGAAACAGCTGCATTGCCTCGGCCTGCGCACTGTTCTGCCCGGAGAGGTAACTCGTCATCGGCCCCTCCCTCCCCCCGAGTTGCTGAGGACCACCTTGTAAACCACCTAACATTGTCGCTGCGACTGCGCTGGAGGATGGGGGGTGAGGGGAGCCTGTTCCAGTGATGCTCAACGGGTTGCTGCTTCCATTGTAGTGACCACCAAGCTGACCATTTATCCCACCACTCGTACCAGTCCAGGAGTTCTTCGAAATGACGCCAGCAGCGGGATTGGAAAAACTAGCAGCAGCTGCCAGAGGTGTTTGCGGGGGGAGCATATCTGACCCAGCCGACCCCATGAAGCCGTTTGCCTTGGCTGCTGTGTAAGCCAAGAGCTCGGATCCCGCTCCAAAGTTGTAAGCATCCGCTGCCGACATAACATTCTGGAAAGGCAGCTCCGGGTATCCTCCTGCTCCTCCTCCCCCGCCGCCACCGCCTCGCACTGCCGTGGAGCCATTGAAATTGTGATCCTGTCCCTGGCGAGCTTCCAAAACTGCAGAGGCCGACCCGGCCGAGTGATCACTGTGGTTACCACTCTGAGGCGAGGAAGGATGCAGCGAGCCTGGTATCCTCAACTTCTCACGCCGGCTTTGCTGCGCAACGTGTGTCTGTTGCTGCTGGAAATGGTTCATTTTCGAGCAGAAACAAGCTCTTCATGCATTTACCTGGCACAGCACCTCAGCTCCATGATCCTGCGGCTGAGAAGGCCGTCCCGACACCACCTAGCCTCGAGAAGAAGCCCAGCAACGAGTTCACAACCCTGAAAAAATTCCGTCCGCGGATGGTTGATAGCGCTATCTCCTCGGGCACCTGGAAAAAATGGAAGCCAAGCCGAAGTCCGTTAGTAGCGTCCCCTCAAGTGGCGAGAGCATTCAACACAGCACACAAACACACATACGAGTCTGAGCCAGCACCACACTGGAAGGAAAAAAAAAAAACAGAAAAGACCGCAAAAAACAAGAGGGAATACATAATGGCCTGCTGCGCTCGCCTTGCACACAATCACCACACTAAAATCCCGTATCCGGCTTCCTGGATGGAGGCGGCAACGGCAGCAACTTCTGATATTTCCAAGTGACGAGCCGCTGGTCCACATATCTATCTGTGCCTGCTCAAAACTTTCCTCCCCAAACCTCCTGCTGCAGCTCAACCCCGGCCTTTTCCAGCTTTTCCCCGCTCTGCAAGCCACGATTCCAATGCTTTCCCACTCCCATCCTCGGAGACCAGAAACGAGAAAGTGGAAAAGCCCAGCGGAGAACTTTTGCGAGGATCATCGCCTGGAGAGTAAGATGAACCTTCCTGGATGATTTGCAGTAGTAGTGGTAGTAGTCGAGAGGTGGATGATGATAACTGCCCATAGAGTGTCTAAAAAACCAGGCGCCATTAAAATGGAGATGTGCCAGTTTCACGAACGCTGGCTCGCTGGCGCCGCTGCTGCAGCAATCTGCCGTGCAAGGACTATGATAACTTTTTGATCAGGACACCAGTGGCAACTTGCGCTCTTCCTCCTCTTCTGCCCACCATCTAACAGAGGCTTCTTCTGGAGATTCAGTTCATTTTCTCCCTTATCATATCTTGTTCCCAGGCCAAGGAGATCTCATCGATGCCACCGAACGTTCTGTCACAAATTCTGTGCAGCTAGCTAGCTGCGTTTTTGGATCCTGAGAAAGAGAAGAACAAAGAAGAAAACGAGGAAAAAACCTCACGCACAAATATTCCAAATCACTCATCCGTAGCAAACACGCACACTTTTGACAACACCGGGAAGAACACCGAGTAAATACTCTTCCAGGCAAGCACGAACGAGACAGGGAAGAGGAACCATCAAGAAATATTTCCAGGCGAGAAGGATGTAAGGTGGGAGGAAATATTTTGTTACCTTGTGTCGGCGATCAATCGATGCCAATCACATCTTCTCATTCGCCATCGCTGCTTCAAAAGCACATTCTTTCCACGTCGCGGCCACCGAGAGGAATTCAGCTAAACGTCGATTCGAGAGGAGCCCCGCCGCCCAGAGCAGCGCTTGATTCTCGCCCGGCGGCACATTCCTGGCGATGCAGACAATCCGTGCCGTGCTCCAGAATTCGCCCGAACAGGCCGCGAATGTTTTGCGCGCTCCTCCCCGGACTGTCACATTAGAGATCGATGCTGACAGGCCATCCGCTGCCCCGGCATCCGCTCAAACTACCTACTGAACCACCGACAGCGACGACGCACCCTCCCGGCTCTCGATCGATCGATCCCAGCTCGGCTCTCCCCTCCCGCCCGCGATAATCTCACGAATCCGCCGAAATATTGATCGATCGGCCACAAAACCCTGGCCGCATCGATGCGCCATCGCATTGCAATGATCTTGCAATGATCATCGTCGTTCCCTGGCGGGATCCTTCCTTCTCTGGCGGAAATTCTTGCGCGGGGAGCGATTTCTGACAAAGATCGGAGGAGAGAGAGGAAAGAAGAAGCGGAGATCAAGAAGAACCGGCAAGGACAAATGCGGTACGTTGTCTCGTCTCAGCTTCTTCGGGAAACATCGGCCAAAAACCTAGAGCTATACCTAAGATTAAACGCAGCATATACTACAAACAAGTCGAGCTCTTCTTTAGCTCTTGGAGCCCGCGCCCTGATACAGACTGATATTGTGAAGTTCTCGGCGTGGAACCAAGACAAGGCATCGCGGCCGTCCGTGCCCCATCCGACGGCCAACCGCAAGGGGAAAAGAGGCCGTCGATGAGCCCCACCTCAACGGCCGAGGCAGGTGCACGTAGCATCTCGCATCCGACGGCCGTGCTTGCCTCCCATCCGCCAGCCGTTCGATCCCCGCGCCATCCGACGGCTCGATGGTGGAGAGACAAACAATATCAAATATAAATGTTGTGGAAGATCTTCCCTTCCTTCTCCGCGAGCTTTGCAAAATAAATATCACACCACCATAGTAATACCACGCCTCTACTTATAAAATTTCTTTTCTTTTTTGTGGCCATGGTTTTAGCGGGAATGTTTAGGCGCCAACAAGGAGGGAGGTACCTTCCATACGTGCCTACCTAACCGTCCAGTGGGTCGGAAAGCGCGCGCGTGGTCTGACGTAAGTGGCGTCCCCGGGTGGGACCTCCCTCGAACTCAAAAAGCAGGCTACAGGGTCGCAAGTCCGTACCGTCGTCCTCCTCATGATTAGGGCAAGCAAGCAAACCCCCTTAAAATTAGGGCTCCTTTGGCTGGTGGTATAGTCCTTCCCTGCGTATGATCTTGGGGATATTGACGGCCCCGGCAATCGAGCCGAGAGCGCCATCGCTCTCAACAAGAGAGCTCTCTCTTTCCCTCGACCTTTGTGGTCCCCCACATCACACGGCCCTGTGCTAGGCGCTATAACTCGGCTCCATCCAACAAGCCACACACACTCACAGCTCCTCTTATCAATGCACATCTCCAGGGATCGATCTTGTACCTTGTTTGCGAGCGCCAGAGATAGCCCGGGACCGCAGAGAGAGGCCCAACGGAGAAAAGGAGCAAAGAAAAAGGGGAGGCACCCTAACAAAATGCCAAGAATGGGGAAATTTCTCGCACACCAAACCACTCCGTTGCGCGGGGACCAGTTAACGGAAGAAAGGCTGACGGCGCCATTCAAGGTGGTGGCGCCGTCAGTGAGGGGTGGTGGGGCCACTGACGGCAGCACACACCGGGAGCCTCGTACGGCAGTGACGGTGACGGAGTGCCGTCACCGTCACATGGTTGAATTGCGGGTGCCCCAAAGTACGCGGGCCACCTGCATTGGCACAGGGAGGATATAATATGGTCCAGTGTACTTTGCCCTAAGGGCTTGGTGTAAATGCGCGGTAAGGCCAGGCCCCAGCTAAGGGGTGCGTCCTTCTCGGGTCGCTGTTTGCATGTGTGGTTCGTCGCTATATGGTCTCTAGCGAGCAAATTTCTTTCTTTTCTCTTCATAATCGCTTTTTTTTGTTTCGCCTTTTCTTTTTCTTTTTCTCTGTCTTTTTCTGTCTTTTCCTTTTCAGAAAGGCGGAAAATAATAAGAAAAAAAAATGGGAGAAAAAGAAACATGGATCATGTTTGCTTGCTTCCTTGTCCTTTCTAAGATTGCCAGGCTTTGCTTTGCGCTCCAGAGGCTCTGAAGAGCCTTCTTTTAATGAGCGAGATCCTTGTCTTCCAGGATCCGAGGTTGGGTTTACCCTGGCATTGTTTACCCTGGGGTATATTCCTCCCCCATTGTTAAAGAAAAGGAAAAGAGAAAACATAGTGGAAACATGTCAGCCCGGGAGATCGAGCTTGCTAATCATAAATTTAACCTTGGCGTGGATGGCGGGGCTCTAAACTATATAAGATAAGCATACATAAGTTTGATCACACCTATCTATCTTAAAACTCGGTGGGACAATGCACGATGGAAAAAATTCCTCCCTTGCCTTTGTGCTGTGCCCCTCTCTCTGTGCTCGCCTGATTGATTGATTCCAGCGGTTCAATTCAACCCATCCCTCGAAGCCAGTGCATTCTTCCTCAAAGAAAGAGGCCCCACCGGAAAGAAAGATAGAAAAGCTCGCGACCCCTCCTAATTGGCCACAGGATCATTCCGTACGCTCGTCCACACCACCAAACATGATTGTGGCACTAGAGTTGTGTAAGAGGATCACGTGTTGTGTGAGAGCCGAGCGTACGGACGGAGATTATTCCATTCCATATCCGGTTTGTTTAAGCGCGGAAAACTTCCGCCAGCCACGATTATGCCTCGTATCGGACGCTTGGATCGATCTTTTTCCTCAGGAACATTCAATCGCAGCTAGGCATCAGATCGGTCCGGCTGTGATCCTTTGTTAATCTTTCTTCTGCGCATATATGTATATGTTATGTGTGTGTGTGTGTGTGTCTAATCGTTGTTTTGTGATTCCAATGCGTGATAGTGAATAGGGAAGATAGTCAAAATGGGATCCAACGACAACAACGTATACATCTCTCTCGAGGACAATGCAGCCGGATCGGATGTTGTGCCCCCCTTTGAGATCTATATATACTATACATTTAATTTCCAAAAAGAATATGGCCACCACCAATTGAAAAAGCTCGTCGAATCTATTTGTTTTAGCGGCATTGTCACGCCTTCCAGAGCGCTAGAAGAAATAAACAACTTATCGAAACACCTGGGGCCGTGTGGCTCCTTTTGCCTGTGTGCTTTGCTTTTGCGATTAGAAAACCACTAAAACTTCGCTGTGCACACACACACACACACAAGTTACAAGCGAATGATGCGCCTCAAAGTTTCGTGAAGCACCTCCTAGACAAGTGGGTCAATTATTGGCAAATCATATTATTTATGGAATTAGAGAAAAGGGTCGCAGGGAGCAGTCATTGCGATGATTGCTGCGAGGGAGAGTGATCAGCTCTTTAGTGGAGATGTGTGTACTTTGACGGATCCCTGCCACGACGAGGACTTGAGCCCTGGATCGATCGCCCCGGGGCTGTTGATGTCAAGCAAACAGTGACCCCTGGGGGAGCTCCAGTTTACAACTAGGCTACTCGCTCACGCTTGCTACTATACGAACCACCATTTACATAAATGAGAGGCTCTTGGAATCTCGCCTGTTCTCGCGGGCTCGAAGGATGGAACAAACATTCCTTTCAGTGGGATGGGAACTCAATGACAACTTTTATGACGCTAACAGTGAACACGTTAGAATGTAGGTGCACCAGCTTCAAACAACAGCTGGGCGCTGGAATCGACCGCCCGCACGAATGCACAAATACAGGGTACGTATATTTCAAGGTAGTGTTTTGTTGGCGCGCTACTGTATAGGTAGTTTGTTTGTTTGTTGGTTTGTTTTTTCTTGGCTATCTTAGCAAAGGGTTTTTAAGACTTCCGCCAACCTTCGATTTAGGGATCCTCACAACAAAGACGTATACTTCCATTCAAAGCACAATTGGAGTCAAGGGGGAGTCCCGAGTAAGGTGTTGTAAGGCATTTCTGCTGACAGATCCCCATCTTTGCCAATCTTTCCTTCTTTTGATTGCCACTATACCAAACAGTCAAATTCCTGTTTGAAAGCGTAGTTTATGAGATCAAACTTGTGTTGAGGGAATGCTCTACTTTCTTTGGCTTCTGGCCCTGAGATCTTGACAAAAGGAGGAGCGCTCAAGCAAGGCCCCAATACCAATAATGATCCCCAAACAGCATATGATGTTGGCCCACATTCTTAATGCGGTTGCCAAAGCGTGGCGCGCGTTCTAGTCTGGCCCCCTTGACTTACGTCACCGTTTGGTATGCAAACGGAATAAACCCCAAGGATCCACACTCTGTTAGTGTTCTAGAATCTCTTCCTCTCTTTTCCTGTTTTGCTATGAAACTCTTTCCCTTTTCGAGGATTATCACACCCTCAGTTCAGCCAATATCAAAGCAAAAGGCTTTCTCATGATCTACGAAACAAGTTTCTTAGACATGGACCACCACCATGGACCACCACTGAGCAAGCAAGCAACTTGAAGTACTGTTTGTCTTGCAAAGGGGCAAAAGAAAAGCTTCTCCTTCGTTCTTCTCAAGAAAAGATAACCAGTGGAAGGAGAGATTCCGGGGGCGCATCTCTATCTTATTTCGTGGAATTCAGCGCATTTTGCTGGACCAGCAGCATCAAGTTGCATTCGCTCTAAAAGCTGTACATCACAGTCAATCCGTACCATAAGGTTTGTTTACAAATCAGTATATAATCAGGTTGGTGGACGATTCATTAGGGCACCAAGATTATCACGTGCCTTGGAACGATTCAATTCAAATTTCAAAATGCCATGCCCACTTTGAAAATGGGGGAGTTGCACGTTCGTCCCCACGCACACGTATCCAAGAGATGATCCCACGCTAAATAAGAATGCGAATACAAATAAAACCACAACAATACAACAATGCAAAACTTTAAATAATGTTAGCCTCACTTGTTTCTATCAAGCAATGTGGCCTTGCTTGGGCTGTGGCACTTTTTGTTGAAAGGGTACCTTTGGGTGCCTGCACAAACAATGATCTTCCAATGTTGATGGCCGGCTTGTCAACTATGGGACGAAGCCCTCTCCAGGCGAGTTAAAACTCCAATCTTGTCTTCCTGTGAAGTGGATGGATGGATGGGATGTGAATGTGATTGAGAGCGTTAGTGGTAGTAGCATTGGTGAGTACTTGCAGACAATATGCTAGAAGGATAGGCGAGACAATTTCTTTCGTTTTTTTTTTTTCTCTTTTTACAAGGTTTGGAAAGCAAAAGCTTTCCCTTATTTCGTTACAGTGACCCGGCAGTGACCTAGATGGATCTTGGGGGTCCACATTGCTCGTATTGAATAGGAATGTAAGGGATGGATTTGGTTCTGGGTGTTTGAATCCAATCAACTTCAGGTTCCAGGCTTTAGATTTGAGGTTTCATGCATTGCCATCGTTATTTTCTTCTTGAGGCTTTCAGAAGATCATGCCAGGGGGAAGAGGCAGAAAACACATCGTCATTGACAACAAGATCTTTCTAGCTTTCCTCTTGTAATGTGACTGCAATGAAGAAAGAAAACTTTTAAAGTGTATATTTTTATATTATATGCTTGGGGTGATAGATACATACCACTTTATGCATTCCAGGAACCACATAATTTACTGCTGGGATGTAATATTTGACTGGCCAAGGACTCAGATTTGGATTGAGGGGGATCCCTGCCTAGTGAGAACTTTCACCTGTCTCTACAGTGATTGATTCCTCTCCTGTGAATCAATCACTACGGTGATTCCAAAGGTATAATCCGGAGTTTGGTGTTGTTGTTCCATTTCTCTGTCAACTAGGCAACAAAAATGGTTTTCCAGATCTCTGGCCACTTTGGACACAGGACTGCAAAGGAAGAGCTTCAGGAACAACATGGAGCTTGCAACCAACCAGAATTGGACTGTGCTTGCTCTCTTCCATTCCACTTAAAAAAAGTATTAAATTTCTTACAACACATTTCCCTTTCTTATCTCATCCAGCTTTCCTTCTCTTTCTGTTCTCTCTGAGTTCCTCTGGGTTTTCTCCCATGATGATCTCATAGCTACACTTTAAACTCTTGCCACTCCACAACACAGAGATCCCAGATGGCACGTGGCAAAGGATCTCACCAACAGCGATTCCAACACGTGGCCCACGGTGATTCGCTCGGCTGGCTGCCTAGCTAGAGGCTAGAATGGAGAAAGCGATATGTAGTTCACTCTGAAGACCATTAAGTTAGGGAGCAAGTGTAAAAGTGCGGCATTAAAGTAACTGGAGACTTCCCCACTAGAGGCCCGATCCAGTTAACGTGCCCTGGTTGAGCCCTGCCCTAGATAGAGGCGTTAGTTTGCATCTTGTCAGTAACGAGGGGATTCCCTCCCACGTGAAGAGAATATCCTGGGGTCTTCCCTCCCATTTTACCCTAGAGCTGAGAATGCCGGGGCGGTGCGCCGGAGCGACGTCAAATCCACGATCCAGGTACGCGATAGGCGGATCAGTCCTGTTCCTGGCATGATCTTGGATTCTTGGCGCCTATTTCGGTGTCCTTGCAGCAATCGGCAGAAATTTCTAGGTGTCTGATCCATGGCTCCATCTCCATTCAAGTTCCTTGTAGCGATTCGCGTGTTTTCTTCGCATTCATGCATTTGGAAATTCCCAGGCATGGACCGGACTGGACTGGGAGACTGTTGTAGTGCAGAGACAAAGATTGGCGCTCAAAGCAACGAGCTGGAATCGTGACTTGGAGCGTTTCTCCAGGTACTGGCATTTTTTTTCTCTTTAGAATCCGGACTCCCTAGCTATAAAAACTGATAAGAACTTTGCTGTTATCCAGTGGACGCCAGGCCGGGTCCGGCTATGCCAGTCAAGTGTTGGGCAAGAGGAGTAGCGCGCTTTTTAATGCAGCAAAGAGAACTTTAAGCTTGGCGCAAAATCCAGGTAAACTGTTGTATGCGCTCTCTTGGTTTACTGTACCGCTTTCACATCGGCGTTATTTGCTGCTGCCAGGGTTCTACAAGTTAAAATCATCCAACTTCAGCAAATAGAACCAAGAAAAGATGTGGATCGTCCAGAGAGCTCTCAAGGCGCGGTTGATATATATACCAGACAAGTTAAAATGGAGACAAGCTCCTATTGTATCACTGCAGCCTCGCGACACTTCATCTGTGGCGCACTGGCAGTTTTAATTGATCACAAGGCAACAACGCCATGACTCTCAATCAAGGTCTCAGACATGCTGATGGAATTCGGCCTCAACATCGCCACGTCTTGTTCCTGCGTAAGCTCTACATTCTCGGGCTTCCTTTTTTAATAGACGTGTTCCTTTCCTCAGGCCAGAAGACAAAAGCGCATATTGGAGCTCAAACAGTGCTTTCAAAAGGTTAGATTTGTTGGCGTGTTGATTCAATGTGCTTTGACGTTTTCCGCCGGCGGGATTTGTACACTTTTCTTCTTTTAACTAGTTCATCTGACAGACGGGCTGGAGGAGTTGTATGTATCACTGAAATACAGCATGAAGAGGCTCTAAAAGGTAAAAGTTTGGCAAGTACAGGACGTTGGCCAACATTTTCGCGTGTTAGACTTGAAATGACGTGCTTACCTTTTGTGGAACAGTGGAGGATTTGGAGCAGAGAATATCAGTGCAAATTGACTACCTAGACACCACTACCCCAGTAGCGCGATTTGGACGAACTGGTGTCAATGTAAGGTTTGGAGAAGCTAGTACCAGATCTGCGAGGCCGGACGCTGCACAGGTAAGCTTTGTCATGTCGCTTTTCAGCTTTTGATGTTCAGCGAGACAAATTCGGGTTCTGTCAAGCGAAGAGCAAGTGGACGACAAAAGTTAAGTTTCTCTTGTTGGTTTTCAAAGGCTGTGGTGGACTCCTAAGTGTGTGTGCTGTGTTTAGGAGGGAGTAAAACAGTTTACATTGGAGCTCAGATGTCGAAGGACCGACTCTGATTCCCAGAAAGCATCTCTTAAAGTTTCTAGAGCTCACGAAAGTGTGGCCACCCACCAAAGCAAGATGCTTTTTGGTTGTTCGCTTGCTGCTTTGGCGGAGGGCCTAGCCACGGCCAGCCACGTGATAAGTGCATCGTAAAAGGCCAAGGACGAGCATGGAGATGATGGCAGGCAGGAGCGGCTCTCTTCCAACTCCAAAGCCTTCTGTTTTGGAAACAGTTCTTACCCCACTCACTGGGCTGCCGCTGCTGCTGCTGGCACAGTGGACTGTTGCTGTGACAAAAATTATTGGCCTTCTTTCTTTTGGTTTTCTTCTTCCTTCCAGCACGCACACTGCTTTGAGGTACGCTTTCGTGGCATCTCCTTTGCATTTAATGAGTACGAATTGTGATAATAATGGGCTCAGGTTGGCAGCCTCAGCGCTTGGAACCCTTCTTATGAACATGATTTCTAAAGTGGCTTCCAGATGCTACGTCGACCGGACATGGAGGAGAGGTGACGATGATTTCTATCTTCCATTTCATGACCACTTTTCGAGTCAGCGGGCAGCACGAAAAGTAAGACGAGAGCTGATTTTGTTGGTGGAAACTTCTGCAGATCACACACCGTGGAGTTTTTAGATCTTGGGACCCGTATGATTCCAGACGAAACAAACGTTTGAACAGAGAGGAGACCAACGACTTGCCAGTACAGAATCGGCATCTCTCTTTTTTCTTCCGAAACTTTTTCCATCAATGCTACCAAGTTGCGAGCGAGAGAGAGATACAACATGAGATATGACAGCTTGGTGGTGGTGCATCTGTTACAGCGCGAAGCACAAGACAGACACGAATCAGTCTCTCTCTCACAAACACATTGCCTCGAAACCGAAGATATTAACCAGCCACGACCGAAAATCAGCCAGGTAATTGACACCTTACTACATGCAGCTGAAGTGCAATGACTTCACTTCCACTTATAGGTGATGCTACGAACGGACGTAGCGAGACGCAAAACTGTCTTCTTTCTCTTCCATAAGCTTCTTCAGGCTGCATTTATCAAGGGCCAAGTCACGGTACGGTATAGAATTTTGCTTACCGTGCATTTTCTTTTGCATCCAGTGTATTCGACTCCTCCTCCGTGAGAACTTCAACGAAAGGCTCGAACAGTTCCCACTCGGTTTTCTTCCTGCAAGGAGAAGCTCGCTCGCGTTTCAAACAAATCGAAGGTTCTTGAACTCACCTGATTATGCTGATCTTATTATTGGGCCGTCGCATTAAGTTGAGTGCAGTTGTTCCGGAGGTGCTGCCAGAGAGAAAGAAAAAGATTGTCAATCAGTATCACCCTCAACTTATTGGTATAGAAGATGGCTACGTTGCATGGTTGAATTCTATCCCCCTCTCTCGACGAGCTTTCTTTGTTATCCTCGTTTCTCGGGCTGATGTTACATTCTGTTTGGCTATCTGCAGGAGGAAATAAAGATTTATGATCAAGAGGCGAAAGGGGTGCTTACCTCGTACAGTTGCTCTCGAATTGCAAACGCGATCCCCGGCTAAATTGCCAAAAAACCAAAACGATTATGGCTGAAGTTAAAACATACGCATCAGCATACCGCGACTTCAGGATCCTCGATTTCAAGGTCCTTGCACAAGCCCCTCGCAAAACCCTCTGGATCGCTCTCGAAGTCACCAACATCCTGGACAGGGGCGTCAGTTTTGAGACCAACAAAAAGTTCTCTCGTAAGTTTTACCCATAAGAACTGATCACGTATAACGATGTTGTTGATTCTCAGGTCCAGCTGCGCGAGAAAAAGGAGAAGTAAACGAGAGGAGATTCTCTATCACTGGCAAAAGAGGTGACTTACCTTCAGCATTAAGACTTTCTCTTCAGTGCTAAGCTGCTGTGCTTCCAGGGAGCGGAATTCGTTCAGCTGCGCCTGGAAACATCAACACAAGGGCCGAAAAACACAGCGTAAGAGTTGCCAGTTTCCAGCTTTCTCGAACATACTTGCATGGATTGGACAATGTGCTGAGTGAAAACAGGCGGGAGGTTCATTTCGGCCACTAGGCGCCGAGCGAAAGGCATGATCTCCGAGTCCCTCTCTAGACAAGCAAGTAAAGTAGGTAGTGACAAGAAACGTGAGCTTCCATTCCAGGCACAAAGACTTTACTCACCGTGAGCGTTCCAGGAGAAGGAATCTTTGAAGCGGTGGGAGTCGAGCTCGATGTCGAGCCTCATGGGAATGAGATTCTCTGCCGTGGGCCTGTCACGCCATCAAAGGTACCAAGATAAATCTCTTCCTTTTTTCTCTTGCAGGACTTACATTCTAAAGCCACCATAGACTGGCCGCGACGCTGCCGGTGTCCTCATCGTCGCAGCAGCGCTACTACTCGTTTTTAGGGCTTTATATCCGCCGGGGAGAACCCAAATTCGTCACGCTTGCTTAAGGTAAAGCAAAAGAGTGGACGTGCCGGAGTGGTTATCGGGCATGACTAGAAATCATGTGGGCTCTGCCCGCGCAGGTTCGAATCCTGCCGTCCACGGTATTTTTAAGTCTGAAATATTCGTATCTATTTATTTAATTATATTTTTAATTGTAGCAGACCATATAATTAAAACCCCTCCTCCTGGAACTTTTTGAACTTTTTGACAAAGGGCAAACAAGCCGTATAATAAAGTGTAAGGATATTCTATGTTGTAGTGATATCGCCAAAGTTTAACAAGCGCGCGATCTTTAACAGGCCAACCATAACTGCCCCAAGACTTGGCAACGCTTCTGCACCAGCTCTTGATAGAATTGAAGCTGTACAGTGCACACCACAACAGCTCTGTGTTCTTCGAGTTTTGTCAACACGGCTGGTAGAGCCGCTTGTGGAAAGACAAGTCTTGTTTCTCGAGCAATTTCGAAATCTGCGTGACTATTTTCATATGTGCCTCCGGATCGCCAGTAGCAGCGCTCCTTTTCTTACGTGCTGCATCGCGTGAGACATAACTTTGGAACACCTGGAAGGATGAAGCTTTAGATTGGAGAAATAAAAAAACAAACTGGCCCGATAGATGGCATTGTTAACATTCTGTAATACGATGCTTGTCATACGCTGATGGAGCATGTGCACAGATGCTTTCTGACAAGAAAATGAAAGCATTATTTGAAACGAGAGCCATGCTTGGATACTACTCACCTTTTTCCTTGGTTCACTGACAAAGTTGATGAATCCCTTGATATTTTGCAAAACTATCATAGTCTAGGAGATGTACTTCCAGCCTTCAGAGTTGAGTTGAAAGTTGCAAAGTGGATCAAAGCTTCTATCGTCTGTTCGTAGGCCTCTAAGTTTGAATTCAGCTACAGCTTTACAAAGGCCGAAATTCTTGTCTTGGGATCGTAACTCATACTCGCGGAGCCTTTCGGCAAAGCTTAAAGGCCCTGTCTCAGCTTCTTTTTCATATTTTCTAAGCAAAAAGGTGGAGATGCTACTCCCTGGTCGATGAAAAGACAATCAGAAACATAAATTTAGATACGACCAACCTCAGACACATTCACCAAATCGTCTGACGGTGTGGTGGAACACCGAGCAAAGTCTCGATAAATACCTGAAAAGAAAACCACTAAAACCTTGCACTCTTGAAGCAAAAGCACAAACCTCCAGCAGCGATCGTGGGTGGATCATTCATTTGTTTCAGCCCCAAAAATCAAGCATTTGCTGTACCACAGATCCTGAATTCAATGCCAAGTAGATAAAAAAATCATCGCCAGCAACATGCATTATACGTACTTCTGTTACAGTCAACAACAGTTGTTTCGCACTTAGGCCACCGTCCGTTGAGATGAACACGCAAAAGCTCAAATAGTGGTTTCAGCAGTCCTCTGCTGCAAATAACTGTAGCTGAGGATAATACAGTGATTCAAACAACAGCTTACCAGGCATCTGTCTTTGTCATCCGCAATAAGAACTCAAGTAACTATGCTGACCTTTAATTCTTCACTCAGAGGGAGAATCAGCATGGGGTTGGGAGGTGAGTAACAAAGTCTATCCCATAATCTACTGTTTGGTGTCGTAGTTAGTTTGTAGGTTCATAAATCAGGTCAATGTTTCGTATTTTCTATTTGCTTGCATCTTGGGAATAGAGAAAACCGAGGTATTTTGAAACAATGGCAAGGTCAATCTGTTCACAACAATAAGTTATCGATAAAATAGACCAACTATATACCTGAAGGGCATCCCGGGCAGATGAACATTTGAATTGTTCGTAGCAGCTGCGAGGGACTCACTTTCTTGCAATCAGATAAACGGAAATCAGGGACAAATTATGCTGAAATTTAAACCACCAACCTGAAAGCTAGATTCAAGTCCGTTGTAAAGGTCGGAAGATAGTAGATTCAAAGCCAACAGGCCACACAACGGCTGGATCACGTCCTGTAATCTGAAGGCCTAGAACAAATAACACATGAATAAAACATTACACTAAGAGCTTCAAGAAGCGTCCGCATCTGTTTCTTTCCGGAATGCAATACGGAATTATGCTCTACGTTTATCTGCAAATCAAAGACATCACATCGTAAAAAATGTATAACGTATAGCTCAACGATTACCTCCAGCAGATAATCGATTATATCTGTCTCTATATGTTTCAGTTTTCCTAGAGATGGTGTAGATGCTGCTAAATGGGCATTTGCACCAGCTAATTCTCGGCTGCAGTTGCCTTACTAGGGGTATAAGGCACGGCACGAAGCACTTCAAAGAAAAGTCCCTGTAGATCAAACTTTAAAGTGCATTGAAACCGGTAACTAGCGTCACAAGGGATTCAATCCTGCAGTATAAATAATCAGAAACTTATCACATGTTTTTAGTTCCCTGAGCTTGCTTTTGTCAAAACTAGTACGAAGAAAAGATGACAAAAACCTCCACAAAGTTCTTGGAACTGTGCAAAGCCTAGTTGCTAGGATTCATCTGTAAAACCTGAATAATAGACATCAGAGAGAGGCGAGACAGTTGCGCATCTCCTCTAGACGCTGCTTTGCTCACTGACTCGAGCAGCGATGAGCACAAGTTCGTGGTAAGAGCTGCCTTGCCAGTCAGCAGGCCGATTATCATTAGTCCCCCAACCTGAGAGTCTGTCATTAGCACATGAGGAATAGTAACTACACTTGCCTGATATTCATCAGTCACGCCATTCTCAAAAGCATGAAGAATAAATGGCATGACTTTATTCAAGACTACGGAAGGGATCTTTGACAATGTCTCCATCACTCTCACGCAGCTAAAGGTTACATGCGAGTGAACCAGAGGTTTAAGCCGTGGACAGAATAAAAAATGTAAGAGACCATCATGATCTGAAGGTCCGTAAACTCACCGTGTCATAGATCATAGACAGCTTCCAAGAAAGCATTGTCATGGGTGCATCTTCATGGGGTGGGGCGGCACCGGATTTCTTCACTTCCTTAAGAAACTCCCACCTCGGAAAAAGAGATCCAGGAATTGTAAAAAGCATTAGCATACTCGAGCTTGAGGAGCTGAACAATTCGAACAGAAACGCCGGTTTTGTGGAATGGAAGTATGGATATCATGACGTCTTCGACGTTGTAGACATAGATCCTGGCACAGTAAGAAACAGGTATGAAATCGAAGTTAGAAAAGCCAAATTAACACAGACTTGTAGCACCGGATGAGGTACTCCAGAACTTGGTGAGGCGGGGGGAGAAGAACAAATGCCGAGAGGACTTTTTGATTGAGCTTGTCATGGCTGAAGCTCTCTACCGTTTGCGTGCTCTCGGCGCTAAATAGCGTCTTCTGGAATGGAACGAACGCCACAGTCTCTCGATGAAACAAAATTTCTTTCCTCTGACCTGCTTGAAAAATCGCCGATATCTTACACTGACTAGCACGGACAAACATTCCGGCGGTACGGCTGCTCCAGAAGGTGGAGGAAACTGACACTGTGGCCTTGTGGGTGGCTACCGCTACCTCTTCCACTATCCAGCCTCACATTACATTGTACTTAAAAACGTGGCCAAGAGTATCTTTTTGTTTATTTTGTTTGACCAAATTTTGCCAGTCAATTCTAGTAATTCTTTATCACACGAGAAGAGCTGGCCCAAATCTATTGTCATTCTGTACTAGTGACTGCCTTGAAGCCAATACGCTGTTACAACTCTTGAACAAGGTTTTCTTTGACCTTCATATGCCAAAAAGAGCCATCATAGTTGCCTATGCAAGTGGTGCAGCGACTCAAAAGCCCTCTTGGACTTCCGAAACTGTATGAAAACCGTTCTACTGAAGGTTTTTGCTAACTAAAATGTAATAATAATTGTTAGGTTTTTTGGAGAGCTAGTGTAATGTGAGAGCTGCTACATTGTTGCAGTGGAGTGTTGGAGCTCGGTGCTATCATGAAATGGTTGTGGATCACTTCAGTAACCTTAGAAATGTTAGTTATCAAACAAATACAAGCCAGATGTGGGATCAATATTTGTTGGAACTTCTGCTTATGGAGATGTTATGAAGCTCTAAATTCGTGTAAATAAATCCAGTAAAATAATTATTGATGCATGTTTCACAACTTTTGGCTGTGGATCTACTATTACATCTTCTTCTTATAGTAATAATTATTATTTTCTATATTTGCTAAGCCTTTTGTTGTAGCAACTAATTGGATAAAAGGGAAGATTGTAGATGAGGTTATGCAATTAGTTAACAAGAAACTAAATTAAACTGTATTTTTAAAAAGTTTTTTAATTGTGTGAGAAATTGCAAAACATATTCATTTACCATCTGTGAAGTTACATTAAGTTAAGGATGACATCAAATTTGCTTTGCTAGATTATTTGTCTAAGCAAAGTAAAATTTCATCTTAGCAATGTGAAGACATCATGGCTTAGCACACCATAGTAGTGCTTGGGCCTTATGTTATAATCACATATACTTATTAAATTAAATTATAATTAAATTATTATTATTTTTAATCTGGAATTTGCCTTTTTTGACAAATTAACTATGTGCTATTTTATTTTAATGGTCTAGATTGAGTCGCCAGGATCTACAAGTAAGGATGAAGAAAAGTGGTGGAAGTGAGCATTTTCTTTTGAGGTCCTGCTTCCCACAACTAAGGGTGTCAGTTCAGCATTGCAAATGTGCACTTGCCCAAAGAACATAAACAACATAGTTATCTGAGTATATTTGAACTTGTGGAGCAGGCGGAATGGTTGCACTGTGGCGAGATGTTTCTCTCTTGATCCTTTCTACTAGCAGGCTTAAAGTCTGAAATCTTGTTTTGTTTCAAACGTATGGAACAATGTTTAGTTATAAGAAAACTTTGTGAAATTAAAAGAGTCCATACACATTTCTAGGCAAAAATATGATTGAATTTATTAACCGCGTTTAATGAATTTAAATTAAAAAAAGCATACAAAATTTTGACACAATACAAAAATTTGAGCTTTTTGTATGAAGACCCAACATACGGCAACGAAGACGCTGGAGCAGCAGCCACCACTGCCGTCGAGGATGCCGGAATGGATCCTCTTTTTGGCGTCTACTGCAAGCCCATTAAAACCTCCAGAGATGCTTCTTCTTGGCCAAACTTAAACCAAAGTGACTTTGCAAAATGTTACTGTACACTCTGTTTAGTGGCTTCACATGTATTGTGCCAGGCTCTCTCCACTTAGTTCCTCCAGTAACTTAATCACCTCCTGCGTCTTGGCCACTATAGCCAGGTTCTGGTCCTCCAGTAGCTCCGACAGGAACGGGATGGTCTCGGGAATGAAAACGAGATACTCCTCCCTCAAGTTCTCCGCCAGCATCTTGACGACATCCAACGCCAGCCTTTTCGCTCGCGCGTTGCCACTCCGGGTCTTCATCAGGACCTGGAAGCAATCCATTGAGTGATGAGTGATTGGAAGTTGTGCTCTCATCTCACCTCGTGATTGAGTGGCTTCCACAGGACGTCCGTGCCGGCGGTGAGCGCCATTCTACTGAGACACGACACCACTGTCTCGTCTGCTTCGGCAAGTGTGGGTACGTCTGCGTCTGTTGAGCCGTCCAGCTCCGGCGGAGCTTCCTCTAGGAGCTGGTCTGCAAGAGATGGCAGCAATTGCTGCGAAAGCGAAAAGAAAATATTAAACTCTGCCTCCTGGAACTTTTCGAAATACCTGGAACTTAGGTGCATCCAGAAAACCGACAGAGTCGTACAAGAAGCACTTGTGCAGGGACGAGACGACCAAGTGCTTGAGGTGCCATTTGGCCAAAGCGGAACCGCTGTCGGCTGAAACGCTCACCGTTTTCCTTTTCTTCGATTTTCTAGTCTCGCCGCTCTTCGCCAGTACTGCGAGACATCCGTCGACGAGGTAGCGAAAATATGGTACGAAGACGGATCTGGAGGACGTATTTTATCAGAATATGGGCCACGGATGTATGAAGGCTTTTACCTGAGCTTCTCGGCGAGTTGATTGACGAGTTTGTAGAAGACAATACTCCTCTCTATGCTTTGACTCCCGTCTGCGACTGGTGATGCTGCCCATTGCTGGATAGTCACGAACAGTGGTCTAAAAGTCGTCTCGCTAAGCTTCATCACAAGAGATGTAACGGCGGAGATGACGCTTTCCTCAACTGTGTGACGTGAAACAAACGACTCTGGCCGTTTGCGTCTCAGGTCGAGAGCTTCCTTGCACAGATCAAAGACTTTGGTGTGATACGCCGTAACAGATGCACGATCCATCTTCGAGCACATAACAGCTAACATCTTGAAAATAAAAGCAACAGACGTCTCGCTTTCGTCCACTGCTATCTTGTAGGAATTTATCAGAGGATCCAAAAGCAGACGGGCCTGCGGGACACAACCAAATGGCTTTAAACACAGGCAAAGGTAACAGAAACAAATCGTACCGGAAGTCTTTCGGACGCAAGTGTCCTCAATGAAGCAAACCTTGTCGAAAGATTTCCAGCCTTGTTAAACTTTGGCGATATCACCACGCGAATAATTCCTTCGATGTAAGGACTTAAGAAGGAGCCGAGTTTGTCTACGGCCGCTTCCAAGGCGAAAGCAATAGCAGTTTCCAGGTCTTTCTCGTTGTCAGCTTCGCTCGTACACTGATGCGCGATCTTTAACAGGCCAGCCATAACTGCAGGAAGACTTGGCAACGCTTCCGCACCAGCTGTCGATAGAATTGAAGCTGTACAGTGCACGGATGCCACCACAACAGCTCTGTGTTCGTCCTCGAGTTTTGTCAGCACGGCTGGTAGGCAGGAAACGAATGCTGATGCACATGCCCCTCCAAACTTCTGAACTGCGACGTCTAACGATGAGATAGCCGCCTGTGTTGTTCGGAAAGACAAGTCTTGTTTCTCGAGCAATTTCGATATCTGCGCGACTATTTCCATATGTCCCTCCAGATCGCCAGTGAAATTACTAGCAGCGCTCCTTTTCTTAGGTGTTGCATCTCGTTCTTTCAGCTTTGAGACATAAATTTGGAACACCTGGAAAAGATGAAGCTGTAGATGGCCGAAAGAAAAGAACAAACTGACATACCTTGCGACGGATGGCATTGTTAGAATTTTGCAGCATGAAAGCCACAGTTTTGCAAAATATCGAGGGGCTCATCAACTTTGTCAGCGAACCAAGGAAAAGATGAGCAGCATCCAAGCACGAGGCTCCCACTTCAGATAATGCTTTCATTTTCTTGTCAGAAAGCATCTGCAGCTGCTGGAGTGCATGCTCCATAAGCGTACGACAAGCATCCTGCAAATATATACGCCAGTATTAACGATAAACATAGTTTCAGGCTTACTTGTACCACAATATCATTGTCTAGTAGATGTACTTCCAGCCTTTGGAGTTGAGTGGCAATGAACCGAGTTGAAAGTTGCAAGGTGGACCAAATGCTTGTATCCTCTGTTCGTAGGGCTCCAAGATCGAATTCAGCTGACAACTTTACAAGGGCCGAAATTCTTGTGTTGGGGTCGTAACTCATACAGAGCCTTTCGGCGAAGCTTAAAGGCCACATCTCAGCTTCTTTTTCATATCTTCTGATCAAAAGAAGCAAAAAGGCGGAGATGCTACGGTCCTCTTCTGTAACCCTGGGTCGATAAAAAAATATTCAGAAACATAAATTTCCTAAATATGGATACGACCAACCTCAGAACACATTTCACCAAATCCGTCTGACGGTGTGGCGGAACAGCAGGCAAAGCCTCGATAAATACCTGAAAAGTAAACCATTAAAACCTTGCACTCTTCAAGTAAAAGCAAAAACCTCCAGCAGCGAGCGTGGATCATTCATTTGTTTCAGCCAGAATGGGACAACGGAATCAAGCATCTGCTGTACCACCGTGTGGAAGTGACTCACATCCTGAAGTTAATGTTAAGTATAAATCAGAGCCAGCAAGATGCATCATACGTACTTCTGTTACTATAGAAGCGCCTGCAATTGAAACGATTTCCACAACATGTGGTAAAAATCGATCCGGACAGCAATTTCCTCCTGCAGCAATAACGGAGAAGACCTGGGTTCTTGTAACATCATCTTTTGCCACCTTAAGGTACTCAATAAGCAAGTCCGCATCCATATCCGAAGTGCACTCCTGACAAACAAGTTGTTACAAACTCTGCTTATGGAAACGACAACTTACCGCAGGTTTGGATCTTATAATATTCTCAATGACAGTTAAGAGCAGCTGCGCCGTATGCTGCACATCGCCTTCAGAAACTTCCGTTTCGCACTTAGGCCACTGTCCGTTGAGATGACAACGCAAAAGCTCAAATAGTGGTTTCAGAAGCCCTCCACTGCAAGTAGCGTAGCTAAGCATAATACAGTGATTGAATCAACAGCTTACCATGCATCTATCTTTGTCATCCGCAATAGGAACTCAAGTAACGCTATGCTGACCTTTAATTCTTCACCTTGTCTAGGCCAATGTTTCGTATTCTCTACTCGCTTGCTTTTCTTATTCCTTTCGCTACCCGTGAAAGCATCTAGAGAATAGAGGTAACCGAGGTATTTTGAAACAATGGCAAGGTCAATCTGTTAACGACAACAATAAGTTATCAATAAAATAGAAACGAACTATATACCTGAAGGGTATCCAAAGTATGTTGGGCAGATGAACATATTGAATTATCCGTTACAGCTGCTAGTTCTAAGAGGGATTCAAATATTGCTTCCTTGCAATCAGAATAATAAAAATCAGGGACAAAATTATACCGAAATTAAAACCGCCAACCTGAAAGCAAGATTCAAGTCCGTTGTATAGGTCGGAAGATAGGAACTTCAGAGCCAACAGGCAAGGCCTCACAACCGCTGGATCCCCAGTAGATCCTCCTGTAGTCTGAAGAAGAAATGTCACTGTCTAGAACAATTACACATGAATAAAAACGAGCTTACACTCAGAGCTTCAAGAAGCGCCCGCATCTGTTCCTTCCCCGAATGCAATACGGAAATATGCTCTACGTTTATCTGCAAATCAAAGCCATCAATGGCATCAGAAAAAGTATACTGTATAGCTCAACGATTACCTCCAGCAGATAATCGATTATATCTATCTCTATATGTTTCAGTTTTCCTAGAGATGACGTAGACGCTACTAAATGGTAAGCCTTGCGCCTTTGCAGCAGCTCAAGGAAGTAGTTCTCGGCAGCAGCTGCCTTACTAGGGGTATAAGGCACGGCACGAAGCACTTCAAAGAAAAGTCCCTGCAGATCAAGCTTTAGAGTAATCAGCAAATTTATTCCACACAAACCTGCATTGAAAGCGGTAACTTTAGAGCTTGTTCTACTAGGCACATCACAATGGATTCAATCCTGCAGTATAAAACATCAGAAACGTATCACATGTTCTAATTGTCTTACTCTCGTTCGCTGAGCTTGCTTTTATCAAGACTAGTATGAAGAAAGGATGACAAAAACCTCCTATCGTTTACGAAGTTCTTGGAACTGGCATGTATGGCTTGCAAAAGAAAAAAAAGCCTCTTCAAGACTTGACCTTCCTGCTTGATTGTTTTTAAGCACCGCATGGCAGCAGCGCGTACAGACTGCAAACAAAGATTTAAGTATGGCTTAAATTATGAAATCAAGCTTTACCTTCAAAGAGCTTGCAAGAGCTACAATGCAGCCAACCACGGCCAACAGTAACTGCTTCTCATCCGAAATAGAAGTTTCAGAAATATACCATGCTAGGATACTCAAGCTATGTACTTGTAAAGGCGTTGTGCTATCTGGTATTAGTGTTAGTGACGACAACAAAAACAAAATCTCAAACCTTCTGTTACTGAGCTTTCCAAAAGAAAAGAAACAGCATCGGAAGTGCGCCCGAGGAAAATTAACAGATGTGGTTTGAAAACGTCCCACGTGGGAAAGTTTGCAAAAAGAAGATAAATACTACCACGAACCTGCAATAGAGAAGATTAGCATCTTTCTCGATGGAAACTCCAAATTTTCTTACTTCGGACGAGTCCAAGAACGGGATGATCCTATACAATGCAAGAAGAATAAGCTCTCCTTTTCCCAGGAGTAGATACTCGTCAGCATCGTACTGAGAAACATAATCGACCTACGTTTGCGGCGGGCATATTATGCACAGATAAAAAATCTCATGCTCACCGATCCAAGAGTATCAGTGTTAGTTGCGATTGCTGACCACTCCTCGCGAAGAAATTGAATGCATTTCTTTAATAACTGCTCTGAATTTCCTTAAACAGCGAGCTGGTTAATTGCTTACGAGAAAAAAAACACTCAAGCTTACCATCGGGACCTTCCACAAAGCATCTCGGAAGTACGCGAAGGCTCAACATTTTGGCGTTGTCAGATATCATGGCTGCTTCTAGCAATAAGTCAGTTAAAGTGTGATCCTGAACTATAGACTCTGCAATCGCAGTTACAATCTTATCGTTCACTTCGGTATACCAGGCATCCTGAACAAAATAGCTTAGGTAAATAAGGAGAAATCGGCTTTCATACCTTAAGCCCTCGGTCTTCAGAGCGTTCAGGAAGTTCTTTTGGTAGGAATTTGAAGAGCAAAACTGGAAATTGCGCTGAAGCATTCAAAGCTTGCAGGTTCTGCTTCCATGTCTGAAGCATGTCAGCAGTGAGCACATTGCAAAGGGAAAAAGGGAAATGAGCAATACTTTAGTGTTTACTGTTATATAGCACAGAAGGCAACGTTGGACTTCCTTCTGCATGCTACTGTCCTGTCCTGAAAAATGTGTTTCCACAAGTTCCAAACACTTCTTTAAAACCGCTTTTGCATCATCTCTCGAAGGTTTTGGGCCTGAAGAAAAACAATGACTACCAAAACAGACTGTTGATGAGTACCTCTTTGAAGGACATCCATGCAATTATGGATCAAACTGCATACAGGTCTGATAAGCTTTTCTGGTGGAATAAGCTCTTCTAGCCCATTGATCGACACAACAGTTTGTACTACTGCCAGATCACTGTCACCGAGTCGGCGAAGCAAAGCTCCGCAGATAATCGGAGCAGCCTAAGACCAAGACGATAAGTACAAGTGTAGACGAAAAAGAACACCAACCTCAGCTGTCATGGACATCTCCGAGATATGTTGCACAGCCAGCTTTCGGACCTCAGCCTGCGAAAGGGCGTATTAAATATCCGAATTGTCTACTTTGGAAAATTTCACCTTTGGATGGTCTATAGATTCGTACAAACTGCACTCGGCCATTTCCAAAGGCTTTCGCAGACTATCTTTTAAGACATGATCCAGAATCTTTATTATCGGACTATTTTTCTCCTGCAAATTGTTCTCAGGGTTAGATAGAAATAAGAAATCATACGAATAAGAACCTGAAACAAGGACTTCACAGCGCTGTCTAGCTCGGACGGATATAGCTTTTCAATAGCTGGAAGCGCTTTTCGGAAAAAATCCTCTGTAAAACTTTGTTAAAGTTGCAGAAAGACGGAGATCATAGACTTACTAGCACAAAAATTATTGTCCTCGGCTTCTTTTTCTATGCCAGCATTGAGTAGTCTCGACAAAATAACCTTCACATGGCGTCCAAGATTTAATTCCGCAATCATCTCAAAAAATCTTTTCTCGTAGTTTCTGCTCCGTAGGCTGATAGAGCAAGAATAATAAGATTTTAAGTAGTGAGGAACGAAAACTTGCGTACCTGTGCTCTGCAAGGGCACTAGAGAACAAGAAAATGAACCTCTCGGCGTCAAATAGTTTTGATAGCTCTGTCAACAATACTGGAAGCTCCCTGGCATGAAAAACGATCATAAGTTTAAACTATTTAGATGCAAAACTAGCGATTACATACTTCACTTTTACGGTGTACTTGAACGCCTTCCGAGGGAAAAGGTCCACTTCTTGAGTCTAAATACAAAAACACGTCATATATGACGATCATTCTAGTTCCTAGGATTCGCACCTGTAAAATCTGAATCATAATCATCAGCGAGAGGCGAGACAGCTGCGCATCTCCTCTAGACGCTGCTTTGCTCACTGACTCGAGCAGCGTTGAGCACAAGTTCTTGGTAAGAGTTGCCTTGCCAGTCAGCAGGCCGATTATCATTAGTCCCCCAACCTGAGAGTCTGTCATTAGCACATGAGGAAGAGTAACTATACTTACCCGATATTCATCAGTCACGCCATTCTCAAAAGCATGAAGAATAAATGGCATGACTTTATTCAAGACATCTTTCGTTACGGAAGGGATCTTCGACAATGTCTCCATCACTGTCACGCAGCTGAATGTTACATGTGTCCTTGCGTTTACCAGAGGTTTAATTCCCATCAGTCCCTGAACAGAAACATGAATGTAAGAGACCAGCATGATTTGAAGGTCCGTAAACTCACCGTGTCACAGACAGCTTCCAAGAAAGCATTGTCATGGGTGCATCTTTGTACGAGAACTTCACGGGGCGGGGCAGCACCGGATTTCTGCACTCCCTTAAGAAACTCCCACCTCGTTTTCCTGGAAAAAAAAGAAATGTTAAAAGCTACGAGTCGTAAAAAGACATAGCATACTTGAGCTTGAGGAGCTGAACAATTCGAACAAAAACGCTGGTTTCGTGGAATGGAAGTATGGACATCATGACATCTTCAACGTTGTAGACATGGATCCTGGCACAGTAAGAAGCAGGTGTCAAATCGAAGTTAGAAAACCCAAACCAACACAAACTTGTAGCGCCGGATGAGGTACTCCAGAACTTGGTGAGCCGGAGGGAGAAGAACAAATGCCGAGAGGACTTGCAAGAACGACGCGATGGATTGATTGAGCTTGTCATTGAATTCCTTTGTCTGGAGCTCTCTATCCGTTTGTGTGCTCTCGGTGCTAAAGAGCGTCCTTTGGAATGGAACGAACGCGCCATTAAGCTCCAGCAGCTCTTGCAATCCTGTAAATGAAAGGAAAAAAAATCACATTCTCGCGGAAAAAAAAAAACTCTCCTCGGACCTGCTTGAGCGATTGAAAAAATCGCCTGGAGATCGATATCCGCCGCTTTCCTGGGATCAAACAGCAGCGATGGGCGCGTGCGAGTGCCAGGAACCAAAGCCGTCTCCCGCCCCTGGATTGACGACAGCGCCTTGAGCTGGGCGCCAAGCGCTGTCGCCATTTTCCTCCAAAACCCTAGCTAAACCCTAAATTTTGAGAGCGTGCGTGTATATGCTCGCGAGGAACACATAGGAGGAGGCGCATTCTTCCCCTCTCAATCCCAGCACAAAGCTCGCAACGCGCGCGCCGTGCTCGAGATTCCCATGCGTCCTACACGCCCCCAGCAGGCATCGCAATTCCAGAGAATCGGGCTCAAATGGCATATGGGCGATCAAATCCGCGGCCTCGGCGAGATGCCCAGTGCGCCCAAACAGATCGATTAGGCAGCAGTAGTGATTCCTCGTCACGGCCACCGAGAAATCGAAGCTCATCGCCAGGAAGCGCTGGATCCCGCCCCGGATCTTCCCGGCATGGCTGCAACACAGCAACACGATCGCGAAGCACACCTCGTCGGGATTGTCCGTGAGCTTCATCGATTCGTACTGGGCGAGCGCGACGCGAACGCTACCCCGGTTAAACGCGAGCGCGCCCAAGTAGGAGTTCCAGGACACGATGTCCCTCTCGGGCATGCCGTGAAACACCGTCACTGCGGCTTCAGCATGCCCGTTTTGGGCATATCCTGCGAGCATTGAGTTCCAGGAAACTAGATTCTTTTCAGGGAGGCTTACAAACAAAGAATACGCTTCATCAAGATGGCCAAAGTTGGCGTAGCCAGATAACATTGCGTTCCACGAAACAAGGTTCTGGACCGGCATTGAACAGAGAAGAAAATGAGCATCTTCCAGATGCCCAGATTGGGCATATGCAGAAACCATTGCCGTGCATGAAACCACGTCCTGTGTGGGCATCGTACGGAACACTCTAGCGGCTTTGTGGAGGTTACCACCCTCGGCAAAGCCAACGAGCATTGCCGTACACGAGACGATATTCTGCTGTGGGATTTTATAAAACAGCATCTCTGCGGAGTCGAGGTCGCCCGTTTGGACAAGTGACACCAGCATTGTGTTCCACGAGACCATGTTTCGCCGCGGCATCAAATCAAACACCTCTCTAGCTCGCACAAGATGACCATTCTGGGTATACGCAGAGAGCAACGCATTCCAAGACGGCATATCACGCTCTTGCATCCGATCGAAGATCTCTTTGGCCTCAACCAACAATCCGTTCTTTCCGCACACGGCCATCATCGCCGTCGAAATAAAGCGATTCTGCTCAGGAATCGCCTCCCACAATCGCATGGCGTCCGGCAACCGTCCGATCCTGGCAAATTCCGTCACCATGGACGTGGACGACACCAGATCCCACTCCGGCATGCGATCGAACACCTCTTTCGCCTCCTGCTCGCAGCCGTGATGGAAGCACGCCGCCAGCATAGAATTCCAAGTCAGCAGATTCCGACGTGGCATCCGGTCAAACAGCTCCTTGGCACGCAGCAGATGCCCGTTTTGGGCATAAGCAGCCAGCATGGCGTTCCAGCACACGAGGTTCAACCCCGGCATCCAGCCAAAGAATCTCTCGGCTCTTGCCACGTGTCCAGACTGCGAATATGCCGTTATCATCGCGCCGAAGCACACGAGGTCCCACTCGGCCATGCTGTGAAAGATTCTTTCGGCTTTTTCAAGGTGCCCGCTTCGGGCATATGCGGTGAGCATCTCGGTTGTGAAGACTAGATCCCATTCTGGAGCCCTATCAAGGAGATCCTGAGCTTCCGCCACGTGGCCGCTTTTCGTGAAAGCCGCTAGCATGATGCTCCAGGTGAAACGATTTCTTTGCGGGATGGAATCAAAGAGGCGCTTGGCGGTTTCCAAATGCCCATTTCGGGCATATGCGGCAAGGAGGAAGTTCCAGGACGAAGAATTCTTGGAGGCGATGCCATCGAACGCTTGCTGGGCGAGATGGGCGCTGCCGCAGCGCCCATACATGTCCACGACGTGATTCGAGAAGTGGGCATCGGGGTACTTGATCAGCTCGCGGATGCGATCGTGGAGCTGCTGGGCGGCATTCAAGCTGTGGCAGGAGCGAACGATCAGTAGCAATTCCTCGCGAGACATACATTTGAATAAACCTCCCGCCCACGAAGAGGACAAACCCTAAAGTGTTCTATGGCGGCAGCGATCAATGCCGGTGCTTGTTGGGCGTGGCCAAGCCGCTGCTGCAATAGCATCAGCACAAGATTGGCCTGCAAGGAGGAATCTCTTGCGCTCACTGCTCCAGAGCTGCGAGATCTAAAATCTTCCATCAAGGATAACTTAAAAGGTCTGTTCTTGCTCTATCTGTTCTAGGACAATGTGTCTATGCCTCCTTTCGCGCAGGTATCAACAGGGGGATATTTGGAGTCCAGACCCCAAAGAAAATCGCGATTGAGGAGCTTATCATGGAGCTGGAGAGATTGAATCCATGCCCGAATCCCATGGAAAATCTTCCAAAGGTCACATTCTCGTTGTTCAACACTAAAAGATTTTTCGATTTCATTGTCGCAGCTGGATGGTAACTGGCAGCTTCTTTACAGCACCATCTCCATTCTCGGCTCGAAACGTACTAAACTCGGGCTTCGGGACTTCATCTCTCTTGGAGACTTTACTCAAACGATTGACATAGCGAAGGTTTAGCGATGGCTTCTTTCGTGTTTCTCTTTTGTTTCCTCGACATGCCTGCCTTAACGCAGATGAAAGCAGTGAACACGATCGAGTTTACCGTTCCTGCATTTTCAATGTTTAGAGGCTCGCTTACCATCACGGCTTCGTATCGAATCACTTCGCCCACGGTTTGCTCGCATTCTTCTCTTTGGTTTCATTGTTAAGTCTTTTGGATTCAAGGGATTAGCACGTAGATATCACGTATGAATCATCGACAATTGTTCCAAACCAGGTATCCGTCATCACTGGTACAAAGAGTTTCTAAGTTGTGCTAGATTCTGTTGCTTGCAGTTGATGAACTTATTTGAGAAGAACTACGACCTCCTGCTAGGCATTTTCAATCCCGCGGGCTGGCTTGAAATCACGTATCCTTTTGCAACAGCTCTTGCTAGTTTTTCCTGACAAACCAAAGCTACCTGGATGAGAGCTGGAGAGTCGGCCGAGATGACAAGGAGAACATTTTCCTTCTGGAGAAGCTACCAAGTTCCTAAAATCGAGTTTCATGCACAACATTCTACAGGATGAGCTACTCGAGAGTCCGGGATGATTTGGGAGCTACTCATGGCAGCAAGGTCCATTAGGCTTGATCACGGCCTTTTATTCAAGAGTGCAGCAGAACATGGAGGGTCTCAATTACCATAGTTCCAAATCTCGCAGTTCGAACCGCTTGTAACATCCCAGGCACCAGTGACCTGCGCGTCAATAGCATCGTAGTTCCTCTTCAGCCCCACGTAGAAGTCCATGTTACAGCTTGTGCACGAGTCCTCCACCCGAACACACCCGTTGTGTCGCCCACCGCCGGGAAGCACCAGCCCCTTGAGCTGACTTATCTCGAGCTTGGTTCCAAACGGATACTTCTGGCCCGGAACCGCAATCGACACGTAGAGGTGCAAGTTGTTGTCTTTGCTGCCCTTGGGACCATCCGTCACGCCGAAGCAGTAGCAATTGTTGTCTTGGCAAGTCACGTATCGCCCATCCTTCAACTTCCCGGCGCCCTCTGTATGAATCTTATTCCAGAAATCGCCACACACCTTAGCTATCTCTTGCTTAGTATTGCAGTCCTGGATGCCCGTGTCCGCCGCCTTGCCTCTGCATATACCACTCTCAGATGGAGTCCAGTAGCACGTGAAACTCTCCCTCGTCGCAGCTGCCAGTGACAATCCCAGACCCATGCAAGCCAAGAAGAGCACAAGGAATGCCGAAGATCGGTGATAAGCCATGAATGCTACTGCGAACACTGGGTGACGAGTAATCGAAGACAAGTAAGAACTCTGAACTGTGGAGTGGCTCTAACATTTGCTAAGTTTTTATAGTAGCCCAGTTTCATGTATTATAATCGTTGCCGTCAAGCACGGACGCGTTGACGTCCGCGTCGTGTAAGAAGACTTCAGCATTGACGACGACTTGCTTATCAAGCACGGCGTTTGGTCCACTAGCTTGACTCCTTTTCCAGAGCTGGTCTCCCAGGAGCTGCTTTGCTCCGTGCACTCCGCGGGTCCTCCTCAGATCCACTTGCTGAGGTGATCCCCAGTGCTGCTTCCTCGCCATCACACCGGAATCTCCAGCCATTGAAACAAGAGCACTCCCCGACTCTTGCAACTTGAAGCTACCGCTGCGCTACCTCTAAAGTGGACGGAGTTTCCGACCATGCTCGTTAATGCCTGCGTCATGAGATCAAAGAGTTTTCTCGCTGCTGCCAATACTTTGCCATGATTTTCGTGTAGATTCCAACAGGGATTGATTCCCATGGGCTCTAGGGTTTAGGGTTTAAGGCTAGTTGCTGTAAAGAGTCTGTCGTGTAAAAGTGTATATACAGTCTTCTTTGATCAAATTATTCACGACGACTATTTACCAAGAACCTGATCCACCACCTTGACTCCCTTTCCGAAGGTAAACATGGATCCCAGCACCACCAGAGCACCTGAGTTTCCTGGATCAATCTCCAAGAGGCGTTTTGCTCCTTGCGCTCCATGGGCCACATCGCTGTGCCTCCTGCAAGCGTCGAGAAAGCACATCCAATCCACACAGTCCTCCTCAAAGGGCATGTTGGTGATGAGATCCATGGCCTTGGTGATATGCCCGGCTCGTCCCAGCACATCCACAAGACACGAGTAGTGCTGCTTCCTCGCCACCACTCCGAAGTCTCCAACCATCGAAACAAAGCACTCACGGCACTGCTCCAGCTCGCAAACGGTCATGATGGACACGAAGCAGATCGCATCCGGCCGCTCCACCATTTTTATCTCGTCGAAAGTTTGCGCCGCAGCCTCGGGCTGCCCGAGCTGGGCATGCCCCGCGAGGAGCGCATTCCACGCCACCAGGTCGTGCTCCGGCATGGCATCGAAAAGACGCTTGGAAGAGTGAGCATCGCCGCTCTGCGCGTAGCAAACCAGCATCGCATCCCAGGAGACGGAGTTGTGTTGCGGAATGGCGTCGAAGATTTGCTTGGCTTCCGCCACCAGGCCGCTCCGAGAGAATGTCAGCAGCATCGACGTGAAGCTCACCACGTCCCACTGCGGCATTGCATCGAACAAGTTCTTGGCTTCGTCGATATGCCCAGCTCGGGCATACCCAACGAGCATGGCCGTCCAGGAAACCAAGTCACGCTGGGGTATCTCCTCGAACATCTCCTTGGCTCGCTCCACTTTAGAGTTCTCCGAGAGCAGCGATAGCATCGAGTTGCAAGATACGAGCGAGAGCTGCGGCATGAGATCAAAGAGTTTTCTCGCTGCTGCCAATCCTTCGCCATGACTTTCGTGTAGATACGAGTAGGCGGAGATCATCGCGTTGAATGAGACTTGGTTCCATTGAGGCATGGAATCAAACATCTGCTTTGCGTTCTCCACCAGTCCCTGCTGAGCGTACGCTGCCATAATCGAGTTCCAGGCGATGGTGTCGTGCTGCGGCATCGCAGCAAAGATTTCTCTGGCGCCACCCAAATCCTCGGCTTGCAAGTGAGCGTTTATCATGGTGTTCCATGACACCAAGTTCCACTGCGGCATCTTCCAGTAAAACATATCTTTAGTGGTTTTTAAATGACCGTACTGGGCGTAGGCAGCCAGCATTGAATTCCAAGAGAAGAGATTATGTTGTGACATAGAGCAAAACGCGAGCTTAGCGTTTTCCAAATGCCCAGTTTGGGCATATGCTGCAAGCATGGCATTCCAAGAAACCACATTTTTCTCTGGCATCTCTTTGAAGAAATACTCCGTCTTTAAGACATTATTGCTGTGTGAAAATGCTGCAAGCATTGCATTAAAGGACACCAAGTTTCTCTCTGGCATTTTGCCAAAAATCTCTTCAGCTTTGTTTAAAACCCCGTTTTGGGCATATGCAACCAGCATAGATGTCCAGGCGACAGTGTCAAGCAAAGGCATTTCACCAAATATTTCCTCTGCGTCCTTGAGCTTCTTGTCATTAGCATAAGCCACAAGCATCGAGCTCCACGACACCATATTCTTCCAAGGCATCAAATCAAACACCCTCTTCGCATCCTCGCAATCCCCAGACTGGGCATAGCCCGATATAACAGTGTTCCACGACACCACACTCCACAGGGCCATACAATCAAAAAAGAACTTCTCAGCGTCCTCCAGCAGCCCATTTTTCACGTAGCATCCCAGCATAGAGTTGAGCGATACCATGCACCATTCCGGCATGGCATAAAAAACGCTCTTGGCTTCTCGCACATACCCATTCCGGGAATACGCCAACAGCAGCAGCGACCACGATGCTTGATCCTTAGCCGCGATGTCGTCAAACACTTGCCGTGCTCGATCGACGCTCCCGCATCTTCCATACATCTCAATGAGCTGGTTGGCTTCGCGGATTGACGAAGAAAAATCCTCAATGCATTTGGATGGGCTAGATTGAGGAGGAGAGATGGGCATAACATAAAGGTGACTTGATCCCTTTTTCTCTCCTTTTATTGAATTAAGAGAAGGGGGTAAAAACTTCCTTTTTACCCTAATCCAAGCGCAAATGGAACCCCTCGATCACCATCTCATGCTAGACGTTCTCTCGCGCCTTGACATACAAAGTCTCTTCCGCGCACGCTTGGTTTGCAAGGAGTGGCTCGAGCTAGTCCAATCCCCGTGGTTTTCAGCGAGGAATCTAGTCGTTCTATTGCACCTTGGGAATAGTTTACAGCTATGGGATCCACTTGCAACGACTGTGGCTTGGCCAGTGGAAGGATTGTCAAGAATCAGCACGTCGCTCTGGGCTTCGTCTGCTGGGCTCGTCTGTGGCATGAAATGGCCATACATATTTGTTGGGAATCCGATAACTAGAAAATGGAAGAAATTAAGCTTGGGACAGTTCAATCTACATGTTTCCAACATGGAGTTCAGGCATGACCCGTTTACGGGAGTGTATACAATTGGTTTGACCTTGAAAGGTGGCGGGAACACGTACACGTACACATACGACTCGTCAAAGGAGTCAAAAGGGTGGTCAGGACCTTTTGCCAAACCAAATGCATCGAAAACGTGCATAGATCTTCGCAGGGAAAACCACAGATCAAATTCGTGGGTATTGACAGGAGAGCTTTTCGTTGGGAAGTGTGTATGTGGTGACAAGTTCATCGTAGCCACGGAATGGAGGGACATTGACAGCCTGAAATTCTGCGGTTTACGGATTTGGGAACTGGACGATTGCATGCGGCCTATGCAGGTCTCAAACCTGGGATTTGGAAGTGACTTGCAAGATTCGAAGCTCAGTGTTTATCCGCTCCGAATGGAACTGGTCGACGACGTGATCGTGTTTTACGTGACCGCGCCTCACCGACAAGCCGCTGGAGGTGTCATAGTTACATACTATCCAGTTCGACGGCAATGGGAGTGGCTCAAAGGAGCGTGGTGTCCAGATAGCTATAGAGATAGCTTTGTGTTTAAACCCAGCTTTTCTTCAAAGCCATAATCACCATGATCTTGGTGTGCGCCAATTGAGAACGAAACAAGTTCAAGTGCTCTTGATGATCGAGTAAGAATTAGATAACAACACATAGCTTGTTGCATCACTGCGATCCAGACCAAAAACATTAGTTGCTGCTGCAATTCCATCTCCAAGATTATCGTGGGATCGTCCAGCCGCGAGCAGGCACCGCCACTCGAAAGAATCGGGCACAAAAGGCATGGTCTCGATGAGCTCTTTGGCATCGGCCAAGTGACCGGCGCGACTCAAAATATCAACCATGCAGCAGTAGTGTTGCTTGGTCGGCACCACTTCAAAGTCCCACACCATTGAAATAAAGAATCGTCGAGCAACGTAAACTTCGCCCTTGTGGCTGCAAGCCAGGAGCACCAAACTAGAGCACGTCTCGTCAACTGCTTCAATCGTGTTCATGGTGTATAAAGAATCGAAAACCTTGCTAGAGTTGTGGTCGTGCCGGGCATATGCACCGAGAGCAGCATTCCAAGACACTAGACTTGGTTCAGGCATCGTACTAAGAAGCTTTGAGACATTAGCGTGATGCCCTTTTTGGGCATACGCCGACAGCATTGAATTCCAAACAACGGCATCTTTTCCTTCCATGTGATCGAACAAAAGCTTTGCTTCCTGAACATAGCCGTTTTCTCCAAAAGCGACAAGCATCGTAGTCCACAAAACAGTGTTTCTTCCAGAAACGATACTGAAAACTTTCCAAGCGCTCTCGATATGCCCGACTTGGGCATACGTGCTTATCATAGCAGTCAAAGCGTAAAGGCTTTGCTCGGGCATGGTCTCTAGAGTCCTCATTGCATACTCAAAATGCCCATTCCGGACAAATGCCACAAGAATTGAGTTCCACGAGATCAGATCCCTCTGTGGCATCTGATCAAACAGACATTTGGCCTCTTCAACATGCCCAGCTTGGCTGTGAGCACTAAGCACGGCATTCCACGAGACGATATTCCTGCACGGCATCCCATCAACGAACTTTGTGGCTGTCCCAACATCTCCCCGGTCTGCGTACAGCGAGATCATCGTGTTCCAAGAGACAACATCACGTTGTGGCATTTGGTAGAACAGAGACTTTGCCTCGTCGTGGAGGCCATTCTGGGCATACAAGGAAAGCATCAAATTCAGTGACACTAGACCATGCTGTGGCATGCTATCAAAAAACAATTTAGCTTCCGCTGAATGCCCGTTTTGAGTGTAGGAGCTCAGCATCGAATTCCAAGACACAAGGTTCCTGAGCGGCATTTGGTCAAAACATATCTTAGCATTCTCTACATGCCTTGAAACGGCATATGCTACAACCATAGTAGTCAGCGATACCAGATCCCATTCCGGCATTGAGTCATATATTCGTTTTGCACATACGGTCTCACCGTTGTGAGCATACGCTGCTAGCATTGCGTTGCAAGAAACGAGGTTCCTCTGTGGCATGGCAGAGAATATACTCTCCGCGAATGCTAGATGCCCATGCCGGGTATATGCCGAAAGCACTGCGTTGAGGGACACCTGGTCCCACTCGGGCATAGATTCGAACACGTGGCGAGCATCATCCAGTCTAGCGTGCTGTCCGTACGCGTCCAGCAGGGCCGTCCACCCCACCAGGCTGTGATACGGCATGCAGTCGCAAAAGAGCTTCCGGGCCTCGTCGAGATGCCCATTTCGAGAATATGCCGACAGCATGAACACCCAGGTGAAGGCATCTTTTCTCGGGCCCATGGAATCAAAGACGGCCATGGCGTCTGGAACGCTGCCGCACCGCCCGTACATCTCGATGAGCTTGTTCGCGAGGAAAGTGCTGGTTGGGATGGAGTGGTGGGCGATTTTGGAATGAACTTCTCTCGCGGATGCGATGCTGTGGCAGGATTGAACGAGGCGGAGGCACTCCTCGAGCTCCATTCTGATCAGCAGCGATGGCGGTGGAGCTTGCGACGATTGATACGCATTTCTATGCCTCGCTGCTTAAATCGTGTGGCAAAACCAGAGATTTGGCCGAAGGCAAGCGCCTCCACGTAAAGATCCTTGGCAGCCACGAGCAGCAAAACACCTATCTCCAGAACCTCCTCATAGAGATGTACGGAAAGTGCGGGAGCTTGAAAGACGCGGTCGACGTGTTTGAGGGAATCGCGCAGAGGAACGTCTACTCATGGAATGTGATGCTCCTGGCATATTCCCGGAACGGGCATCTCGAGAAAGCATCGACGCTCTTTGAGAAAATGCCTTTGAAAAACCTTGCGACGTGGAACGCAATGATCGCTGTCTATGGACAGAACAAGAAAGTTGACGAAGCGCGAAAGGTCTTTGATTTGCTGCAAAACAAGAATGTGATCTCCTGGAACACGATGATCTCGGCATGTGCCCAAAACGGGCATCTCCAAGAAGCCAGGAAGCTCTTTGATGAGAGCCCTGTTCTAGATCAAGTTTCCTGGAACACGATCGTCACTGCCTATGCCAAAGAAGGAAAGCTCAGCTCAGCGAGAGATCTCTTTGATCGAATGCCAGAGAAGAGTGGGATCGCGTGCACGGTGATGGTGCTGGGCTACGCTCAAAAGGGCCAGATCCACGAAGCAAAGCTCATCCATGAGAGCTATGGCGCCGATGATCTCTACTGCGGCAACGCAATGCTGGCGGCTTACGCCGAGAGCAACCAGTTCCAAACAGCCATGGATCTCTTTGCCGCGATGCCGAAGAGGGATTCCATCTCCTGGAACACGATGCTCAAGGCTTGCGTACACACCCGGCAAGTAAACCGTGCTCAATTGCTCTTCGAGAAGATGCCCAACCGTGACATTGTCTCGTGGACAACGATGATCTCCGCGTACGCGCAGGCAAACGATCTCGCTCGAGCAAGAAAAATCTTCGACGCAATGCCACACAAAGATCTCACTGCCTGGACGGCAATGCTTACGGCTTATGCCCAAACAGGGCATCTTGATCTAGCGCGAAAGTTCTTTGATTCCATGCCAAAGAAAAGCACTATCTCATGGAACGCAATGATTTCGGCATACACACAAAACGGGCATCTCCGAGAAGCCCAGGAGCTCTTTGAAAAGATGCCAGACAAGAATATGGTATCTTGGAACGCGATGATTACGGGATATACCCAACACGGGCATATGGAGGAGGCCAGGGAAATGTTCCACCGGACGCCATACCGCGACTTAGTCTCGTGGAACGCACTTCTTTCCGGATTTTCCCAATCAGGGCTTATCACCGAAGCGAGAAAGCTCTTTGATCGAATCCCAAATCCGGACGTGATCTCCTGGACGACGATGGTAACCGCATTTGCCTCACGGGGGCAACTGGACGAGGCCCGCGACGTGTTCGACCGAATGCCCGTCCGGAACCTCGTCTCCTGGAACGCGATGATCTCGGGCTACTCCCAAAACGCTCGCGGCCACGAGGCACTGCAACTCTACCGTACAATGGACGTCGAGGGAGTCCGGCCTAACGAGATCACGTTCGTGGGGGTGGTGGACGCGTGCACGGCCATAGGCTCGCTGCCTCTCAGCCGTGTGATCCACGCCCACATCGGCGACAGCAGCCTGAGCTGGGACGTTACCGTCGGTAACGCCGTGGTTACCATGTACGCCAAGTGCGGTAGCCTCCACGGCGCGGAGCTCGTCTTCTCGAGCATGGTACGTAAAGATACCATAACTTGGAACGCGATGCTGGCGGCCTACGCCCAGTTCAGCTGCCACGCCGAGGCCGTACACGTCTTCCACGCCTTGCACGTGGAGGGCGTGCCCCCCGACCAGGTGACATTTACCATAATGCTGGCGGTCTCCAGCCACTCGGGCGAGTGCAAGACGGGGCTGACGTACTTCTGGTCGGCGCGGTTGGATTTCGGGCTTCCGTACAGGGCGGACCACTACCGGTGCATGGTGGATCTTTTGGGCCGGGCGGGGTATATTCGGGACGCCAAGGATCTCGTCCAGAGCATGCCGTTTGAGCCGGACGTGGTGTCGTGGACGACGGTGCTGGGGGCGTGCCAAAGTGGAGATGGGAATGCCCGGGGCAGTGGAGGTCATATCCAAAAGAGAGTGATGGAATTGGATCCAGAAGAGTCATCGCCATATGTTTTGTTATCGAATCTAAACTCTCAATCTATATAGTTTTATCATTGATTTGATTGAAAGAGTATTATCCACCCGACGCTGTCTAACTAGTTATGTCCCACAAATGGTGTTGATTATCTGGAATTCACAAATCGTAGGTATATGCACAGGAACATACTGTCGAAATTATTGACCCCCTCTCCCATGGCCTATATAGCGATTGGGAAGACTTCGGAAACAAAAGATAGTGAACGATAGCGATTTGCAGGGAAAGAGGGGCGATTCTCTCACTCTCTCACTCTCACTCTCTCTCACTCACCCCCGCTCTCTCTCTCTCTCTCTCTCTCTCTCCCCTCCTTCGCGATATGACTCCTCAAGAACAAGGTAAGTTCGTGAAGCTAGATGTAATTCTCGACAGGCAGTGGAGCAGAACGATGAGCATCGGATCGATATCAGGATCGCGCAAGTTCAAGGAATCAACACCAGCAGCAGCAGCAGCAGCAGGAGCTCCAAAGCCTCTCCAGACGATCGATATGTCCAAGCTGGTGATCCGGGAAGTGATCGGCCTCGGCGCGATTGGAAAGGTCCACCGGGGAACATACAACAACGAGGAAGTGGCCATCAAGCTCTTGGATTGCAGCAAGCCGGGGCTGGCCGGGGACGGGATCTCCGACTGGCGGCGCGTTTGCCTCATGCGGGAGCTGCGAATCTGGCGGAAGCTGGATCATCCAAACATCGTCAAGCTCATCGGTGCTTCGCCCGGCGTGGCGGACAAGAACGCCTTCTCCAACGTTTGCTGCCTCGTCTCCGAGTATATGTCCACCGGAAGCTTGCGCGAGTATCTCATGTCGCAGCACAAGAGGCTGAGCTACAAGCTCGTGATCCAGCTGGGAATCGACATAGCCAGGGGGCTCGAGTACCTGCACTCGCGGAAGATCATCCACAGGGATGTCAAGACCAAGAACATCCTGCTCGACTCGGCTCTCCGCGCCAAGATTGGCGACTTTGATTCGGCCAGGATCCTGATGGAGGCCGATCAGGCCATGAGCGGGGAGATTGGAACTTTCGGATACATGGCGCCCGAGGTGATGGACGGGCGGGCATACGATTGCAAGTCGGATGTTTTCAGCTTTGGGATTTGCTTGCTGGAGATCTATAGCTGCGACATGGCGTATGGATTGGTGTGCTTGAGCCTGGCAGACATCACCAAGGGGCTCGTGTATCGGAACTTGCGGCCCAAGATCCCGCGGTCGTGTCCCGGCGAGCTCGCGTACGTGATGAAGCGCTGCTGGAAGAAGAATCCGGATAAGCGGCCCCGCATGAGCGAGGTTGTGAGAATGCTCGAGGCAATCGCGAAAGGTAGGATCTTTGATTCTTCTTTGCTTCGCTTCAAATTTCTTTTTCTTATGGTTTGCTTGGAAGCCTCCAGCTTCGTTGTTCTGTTTGACAAAAATGCTATTCTTTGTCAGGTAATTCGTTGAGCAAAGTGTCTCCCCAGTGCAATCCTTTCCCGGACACCTCCAGTTCGATCTCAAAGTAAACTGCAAGATTCTTTTCGCCTTTGCCGAAGAGATATGGCCGCCACACGCCCAGAGAAGTCAAGTTCCAACTTGAGAGATGGTTGAGATTTTCTAGAGAAAATGTGATTTTCTTACCACTAAAAAGGATCTCTTTCTTCTGTATTTCAATGGTTGCCGATGTATACTACCAGTAACAGCTCGTGGTATTCTTCTTGTTACGAAATGGGGGCGCTAGGGTTCCATTCCGCGACTCCAGTTTTGCGAGGGGCTGCTCTCGGCCACTGCGCCAAGCGGCTGGTCCTCTCCTCGAGGAATTTCGCCATGGCGGACGCTGCTCAGCAGGTAACTGGATTTCTTTCGCTAGATTTCTCACCTTTCTCACCTTTCCTCTTTTTTATTTTTTCTTTGTTTTTCTGTGTGACTTTCAGGCTGTTTCGAGCGATCATGCGGAAGCAAACATATGGCAGGTTGTGAGCGATCACCAGGTGTGTTTTTGTTTTCTCTTCTTAGTTTTTGGGAATTGGAAACCATTTTTTGTTTCTTCGAGTTGTCCAGCGCAAAGCTGTGAAGCTTTCTCACGCAGACGAGGCGCGGACGCTTTTAGCGAACAAGGAAATTGGATTTCTATCAACGATTTCACAGGTTCTTCTAGCCTTGCTGTTTCTTTCTTCTCTCAGTTCATGTAATTTTTTTTTGCAGAAGTACGAAGGATTTCCGGTTCCATCGACCATCGAGTTTGCTTCTGATTCTAATGGTCAACCTCTTCTTGCTGTTAGTTCTCTTTCGCCTCACACAAAGGTATTTTGGTATTGATTTCATTCGTACGAAGCAAATTCGATCGGTCCAGTAGTGACTTTGCAGAACATGGAATGCAATCCAAAATGTTCTCTCCTTGTTGCTAGAGATCCTCTCGATAAATCGGACACCTCCATCACTGTTGTTGGAGAAGCTTCATACGTAAGTAGTTTCTGATTTTGGTTTCGCCTTCAGTACAACGAAGTTTTATGTATGTTGCAGGTATCGGGCGAAGACTGGAAAGAAGCTCGCGAAGTCTACTTGAAGAAATATCCGCGCGCGTTCTGGGTAGGATATATTTCGGACGAAAACTGCGAACTGATATGATCTTGTCATGCGAAGGTGGATTTTGGCGACTTTAAGATCGCAAAGATCAAGCCAAAGACAGTGCGTTTTGTGTCTGGTCTCAAAACTGGCCACGCCGAGGTTGAAGGTATTGCCTTCATTTAAAGCATCAGAAAAATTCCAATGTAAGTTCTCTACAGACCTCAGTTCCGACAATTTCCAATCCGCCAAAGTCGATCCTATTTCTCAGTTCTCAACACCGATATCGGTAAGGAAAAGAAATTTGAAGGTAACGCCTCGCTACTTTCGTCAACTATGCAGTCACACATGAACAAAGATCATTCGGCCGACACGCAAGCTATTGTAGAGCACGTTGTTGGAGTCAAGGTAGCTGGAATTTTATCATTGTTTGCTCTCTTACGTTATATCCGATATCAGGTGGATCATGCGTTCATGCTGGACGTTGATTCGCTCGGTTTCTACGTAAAGGCGAGTTCTTTCTTGATTTTGTTTTTCATTTCTCGCTTCCCTGGCTTATTTGGTGCTAGCATTTCAGGCTGCAATTCAAGGAACACCAACAAAATTGCGCATTCCTTTCCCCAGAGCTGCACAAGACCGCAAGTAAGTCCCTAGTAGTTTTGTTTTGAGTAGAAACTTGAGCGAGCTATCTTTTGTTTTTCCTCAGGGATGTGAAGACACTCATAGTCGAAATGCTAAGCGCTGCGAGAGCTACTACTACTGTCTGAAAAAGACCTTGTTAGGGCTTTACAAGCATAGCATGGCGAGAGCTATCACCTCCACTTCGAAATGGGTAACTTGTTCCATTCGTTCGAAGCCTGCCGCCATTGACGTTCCAGGTAGGAAAAATCCAACGCCTGGAATGGCCTCGAGGCGCTCACGAACTAGATTCTTCCATGCAATGCCGCCAATCAGTCTGTATGGCTCGAAACTCTCAAAGTCAGCTGGAAGAATAGCTGAAAAACCGGCCGTTCTTCCATCGACAGCAGCAGCAGCTTGGAGTGAGGAAGAGCTGAGAATAGTGGAACAGGATCTAGAAGGAGATGATCTTCCAGGCAGATGGTCTCAAGAGGTGCTAGACGAGGACGTGAAGGTGCTCACAAAGTTTCGGAGCCGCCACAACTTGGTCCAAGTGCTCGAGATCTCCCGGCGTGCGGACTCCACACTAGCGGGGTCGCGAGTGTTGCTCCTGGACAGGCCGGGCAACATCCACAGCGTCCACTTCTTCTTCAAGGTCCTCACAGGCTCGTACTACGACTCGTTCGCGATGCTGCCGCCTCTAATTCCGCCGGGGCCGATCGCCATCCTGGGTCTCGGCGCTGGAACCGCCGCGAGGATCATCCATCACTTCTGGCCGCGGCTGGAGATCCACGGATGGGAGATGGACGCTTCCGTGGTCGGAGTTGGAAGGCGCTACTTTGGAATGCTGGACTTGGAGAATGGAAAGCCGAGCGACTTAGCAGGCATGGACGAGGACGAGGAAGACAATGACTCCGGTTACTGCAGTGGAGAAGAACTTGGGAAGCTCGTAGTTCATATCGGCGATGCTCTGGCTCGCGACGCGGTCGTGCAAGGTGGCTTTGCGGGGATCATCGTCGACCTCTTCTGGCAAGGCAGAGTTATAGCGCCGCTCCAGCGAGCTCGGACATGGCGGGAGCTCGGCGAGAGGCTCAAGCCGGGAGGCAGGATAATGGTGAACTGCGGAGGATCGTGCGTGGAGGCCGAGGATCGCAGGGACGGGGATGCGACCATGAGAGAGACGGTGGCGGCGTTGATGGAGGCGTTTCCTGGCGGGGGAGTGAGCACCCGGACGTTCTTCCCGCACGATAACTGCGTCGCGATGACTGGAGCTTTCCCAGATCTCGCGGCGTGGAGGCGAGAGCTGCCGAAGTGCTTGTGGCCTTCAGTTTCCGAGTGGAGGCCAACGAGCTAGCTAGAAAAAATGGTTTTTTTTCTCTAGAAACCAAGATCTCGTTATCAACTTTTCCTTTGGAGTTTGAGCTACCTAGTAGGGTTTTTTCTTGGCCTTTCGTATGGCTTGGCGGAGCGGCGATGAGCGGAAGAAGATGGTGAAGAGAATGTAAGCGTTCCTTCTCTGGATTGTTTTTTATGGGCTTTTCTTCCTTGAGACACGATCGTTCATGGCCCGCAGGATGGGCACGCTGCACAAGCAATTCCACGCGCCAGGCGGCATAAACGAGCTCTTCCAGATCGCGTCCCGCCTCGAGGACGCGGTGTACAAGACCGCCACGGATGAGGCAAGTTTTTACCTCTGAGGAGGATCCATCAAAAAATTCCCCCCCTTTTTTTCAGCAAGACTATCATAGGAAGATAACCGCGGAGCTGGTCGCGAAGAACACGACCAGCGATCGCGCTCAGGTGGCGCCTGGGAGCTCGTCACTCGTGGCTCAGCAGGCTCAACATCAAAACCAAATCATGCAGCAGCAGCAGCAGTTGTTACAAATGAGACAAGCCCAAGCTCAAGTTGCTCAAAGTTCTAGTAACAGCACCATGCAAGCGCAGCAAGTGAGCGTCACGCAAAACCCAGCCGCCATGAGGATGATGCAAGCTCGTCAACAGCAACAACAGCAGCTCTACCGGATGAATCCACAGCAGGGTCTGCAACAGGCCGCGAGCCTTTTGCAGCAGCAGCAGCATCTAACTGGACTCTCCAGCCAGCATCAAGCAGCGTCCATGCTGCCGCCGGGTGCTCAATCTTTCCAGCAGCAGCAGCTACAAATGCTTCAACACCAGCAGCAAAGTCTGCCTCTCGGGATGAAAATAAAAGCCGAAACTCCCTCAGGTACGCTCTCTCTTTCTTTATATGACCGCGAGCGAGTTTACTTTGTTTCCTTCACAGCTTCGCTTGATCCAACCATCGACGAGCAAGAGGCGGCATGGAACAAGGTAACCGGTTTTTTATAAACAATCCATGTATGTTTATCTCTTCTATTTCAGCTTCAAATCTTGAAGGACAAGCATTTGCCACACTTCCAACAAGTGTGGGATAAGCTTTGTGTACGGAAACGGGTAAGCTTTTCCTTCCTGTTCTTTTCCAGCTGCTGATACTAACCTCTTTCATGCAGTCACTACCCGCAGATCAGCTACCAAAGCTAGATTATTACATGAACTACATACTCAAGTTCATTAGAGTCTTATCTCTGTCGAGAGACAACCCTCCAAAGAAGTTTGGACTAGAAATGGTGGACAACTGCGAGAAGCAAATTCTGCATACACTGAAAAAAAATCTCCCGCAGCAGCAGCAGCAGCAGCAGCCGCCTGCTACAAATCCGGGGCAAAATGCTGGACCACATGCCATGCACACGTCGAATCAGCAGCAGCAAGCGTCCCAACTCTTCCAGCAGCAGCAGCAACAGCAGCTGAAAATGCTGGAGGATTCAAAGATGGGCATTCGGGGAATGGTGGATGCGAAGCGGCACAGAGCTCGATCAGCTCAGCCGGTTCCATCTCCTCAGACCTTTCAAGCGTCGTCTCCTCACAACGTCAAAGTTGGCTCGCCGGTGACACCACCGCATATGACTCTTCCACCGATCGAGGAGGACGACTCCGACAGCAAGGCTGCGATCCAGTCGACCGCACCTCCACTCGTACTCTCGCCGGGCATCTCAGCGTCACCTTTCTTGGACTTGTCTGCAAGTCCTGCGCAAGCTGCTGATCCGGCTGGTCCCGATCCTTTGGAGAGGCTTCTCAAGATCGTAAGTCTACTCTTTTCCTTCATTGGTTTCTATCAGCCTACACCGCAGGTGAGAACGATGTCTCCGAAAGCTCTCAGCGCGGGCGCGAGGGAAATGGCATCGATCGTGTATCTGTCCGACAGGCTCGCCGCCACGGGACCGGGTCCTGGATGTACAGCTGCTGTTGGAGAGGATTTGGCAGCCATGACAAACAGCCGGGAACGAGCTAGAGCCTTGGCATCAACTCGAGGGAAGCCAAACTCTAAGCGTCCGCTTGATTCCCTTGCGCTGACAGTAATCTCCCCGGATGGAAGTGTTTCCAACAGCCTCGACGGTGGTGGTGAGGCCGATCTCGAGTCGCCCGAGGTCATATCCGGCTGGAAGCGTCAAAAGCTCGAGGTACAGATGCTCATGTGTCGTTTTCTTCTTTCTACTCGTTTCTGTGCTCATAGATAAGTTACGTCCTGGAGCAAGAGATCCGCGACACGAATGACCATCTCATCGACACCGTGGTGGATATCAGTGAAGACGGGAGCGAGGAAGCAGCATCCGAAGGCAAGAAAGGACTTGTTCTCACCTTCACTTACATTCCAGACATGGTAGAAACGATCTTTGGCTTCCACCAAGTTTCTTTGCCTGACTGACTATTTCGTAATGGCAGGCCGTTTTGCCACCGCTGCGAGTGTTCGTCCCCCCGACGTATCCAGAAGCTCCGCTGTTTATGTCGGACCATCTCGATCCAAACTCCAAGTAAGTTTTTGTCTCCATCCTCCTCGTGCTTATCCCGGTTGTGTTTGATAGCCACTCGCTCTTAGCGGTGGCTAGAGAGGCGCTCACCAGGGCATTGGATTATAGTCGGCCTGTCACCGTCCGAGCCATGGCTAGAGCGTGGGACGAATGCGCTCGAAAGGCCGTCTCGGCAGTTTCTGGCGAGAGCGACCGTGATTCCATCTTGAGCAGCACTGGGACTTGGATAGACTGCGCGGCAACCTGATAGGCTTGAGCATGCAAAACTTTGCGAGGCACTGGCAACGCAAAGTTACATAATCGCCTTCTCCAAAGGTCTACCACCTCGTCCATGGTTGCTTCACGGTCTCGACCTCTACTCGCAAGTTCCAGCAAGCTTGGACATGGCGGAGAAGCCAAGATCTCCGCAATGGTGGCATGGAAGGGAGAAGCATTAATGACAAACATTCTTCCACCTTGAATTCCATCGCCACCCTGAAGTTTTTTAAGTCTCTGGTTTTTTTTAAGTCCCTGGAATTACATCATGTAAGTTTTTTGTCGAAGATAGCTGCCAGGGCTTTATAGATCCTGGAGAGTTATTTCCTTCCCCTCCTATCTTAGAAGTTTACATCACTTCTATTCAATGTCCATAGAAGTTGCCTCTGCGCAAAAAAGTGGCCCACGATTTACAGATACTGCGCAAGAGTAATTCTCACACTGGTAGCAAAGTTCTCGCTTCCTCGTTGTCAAACGAGTTATAATTCCTGGACCCTCAGTCACTATAGGCAGCACCTAACAGTCTTCGTTCTCCCACATTGCTATCTCTTACACCGCGACTGCGCTGCCAGGACAGTGGTCATCACCACCTCCTCCACTTTTTTTTTTTCCGTGCTTTTCTTTTGCTCTCGATCGACACAAAAAGCACTGCAGCACCGCACAGCTCGCCCGTGACAACGCACCTGTCGGCATTTGAAAGTGAGAGGCACGAGAAAGTAAAACAATCCGACAAACACTACAGTACCTCTTGTGCTGCTGCTGTAATCGCCTGTTTGATCTGCTAACTTCTGTGGAAACGAAGGCCGTCCCTGCAAAACCAAAACAGCGAGCCAACCAAACGAGCAAGGCAGGCCTGCGGGATTTACGAGATAAAAGTATCACTGTTGCTACACATGCCATTGCCAATGCCAAGCAAACAACAAAGCTCCAAGAATCATAATAACGGGAAAATAGAAAAACAGAAGCAGCAAACCACACTCCAAGATCAAGCCAGACTGAAAAGCCTTGCAAGCTACTGGAGAGATTTTTGTCAAGGTCCTGCAACACTACCTGTTGAGGTAATGGTTTCTCTTTTTTTCACCTCCACACCAGGCTGCTGCTTCTGCCGCAGCGAAGAATCCTGCCCAGCCAGCCACGGTGCTCCGGCAGAATCTGAAATGTATTTGTACATTATATGTACACACACACACACAAACATGTTATAGAGATAAAATAAGCCCAACCGACCTGGAACTCTCTACAGGAAAACCCGTGAGCGCCAAGGCCTTTCCGTCGGGTACTCTTTCCAGCATGCCCGTTTTGGCAGCTCGAATTGATACGTCCTCGTCCCCATCCTACAACCAGGCCACAAGATGTAAAGTTAAAGACGGCAGACGAGTTGGAAAGAAAAGAGAGGAGCAAAGACAGAGACTCGCCTTAGTGCTCGCTAGTTCGTAAGCTGGTGAACGCAGCTCGTCTCCAGCAATGGCCGCACGAAAGTCCTCCTCCACCACACCTCGAAAGCTCTGTTGAGGTTCGGACAGTCACCAGCGCTCCTCGAGAAACAGTCGAACCAGCCGAGGAGGATGAACTGCTGCTGCTTGAGCGGGAGCGTAAGGATCGTTTGGCTTATCCCCTCCTCTACGGACTTCTTGTCCAAGCTCTTGCAACACCTTTGCAGCCATCCAAAGTCATCCACCAGCGGCTGGAACCACGTCTGGAGCAGCAAAAACCTCACGTCCTGTGGCACCAAAACTTGGCCTTTGCCGATGGCCATGCACAACCGAGCAGTGATCCGGCTCACGTCGTATCTGTAGACGCTTGGAATCCGAGAGTATAAGCTGGCGAGCTCCGCTTGAGAAGCCCAGATCTTGACAAAAGTATCTGCTATCTCCCGATCGATCAAGATATCCACCATCCAGTTGAGATTATCAGCCTGACGAGATATCTGTGCGCCGAGTGTTCCTTCCTTTTCATAGCCGGCCGCATTGGAGCTCTCGATCACCTGTGTGAAGAGCCGACTTAGAGCCTCGAGGCAGCTCTCGCAAGCCCGATATATGCAACCCCGGCAAGAGTCCCACGAGTCCTTGGCTATGGAAGGATTCTCGCGAAGCATCCTGGAGACGAGAGACTTTGTCTCACGCCGGGCCTTCTCGTCGGTTCCCTGAATCACTGACTGCAAGAGCCTGGCAACGATGCTTTCCGTCTCCACCATTTCTATGCTGCTCAGCCTCTTGAGTACCTCCATTGACGCGACACTGTCCAGTTGGAGCTGAGAGACGAGCGATGTTACTCTCTCTTCCTCGTCCTCTGGCCACGGCATGGCTTCCAGGTACTCGAGGCACGAAACCACGCCAGCTTCGAAGAGAATTGCCGCAGACACCTGAGAGAAAGACACCAGTTAAGAACAGAGAAAAAAAAAGGAAGAAAATTTTCACCTTTAGAATCCCAAGAACTCGGGTGACACTCTCCTTGATCAAGCTCCGCCTCAAATCCCGGCAGTACATGAGCCGGATGGTCTGGAGATACAAGTCCACGTCCTCGCAGTCGGAGATCTCCACGGCATTGAGCGGCATCCTGTGCTGCTTGGACCACCAATCCGAGAACTTTGCCGCGAAGAAGCGGCTCTGGGCAGTGAGGATGTGCCTGTGGACATTGATCGAGATGCTGAAACCATCCCTGCCCGTGATGGTGAGCTTGACATCGCTCGAGGATGGATCGTTGAACTGGTTGCCAGGGCTCCGGAGGAGGAGAATCGCGTCCACTTTCTCCTGGACGGACGGCGGCCTGGGCAAGGAGAGCATCACGGACTGCTTGGAACTGTGGATGTCTTGCTCGAGCGCCATCATCTCCATGAGTGTTGGCGACGCTCTCGCCTTGTCCACGGGCGGAGAGACGGGCATGAGCATCTTCCCGCTGGAGCACTTGCCAAGAGCCGGGGAAGAAGAAGCCGTCACGGGGACGATGGCAGTCTCGGAGATGGGCGACACTCTTCCTGGCGAGAGACGAAGCCGGAAGGGCGAGCCCTTGCTGGTGCGCTCCACCACGATCCCCGTGCCTTGCTTAATGAGCGCCTCCAGCTCCTTGGGCCTGAGCACGAATTCCTTGGAGTTCTTGGCCGAGCCCGCATTGCCGCCGGTGGTGGCATTCTCCTCGTCGTGCCGCGCCGCCGCCACGGATGAGCCCCGCCGGCGCCACTCCTCCTCTCCGCTCGCGCGCACCATCGCCGCTGCCGGCCGCCGGACAATGCAGCACCACATTCCCTCCGTATCCACCGTCTCCGCGCGGCGCTTGGCGGACGACAATTTCGAGCCGCGCTTGGGCGGATGCCGCGGCGACGGCGCTACCTCCATGCCGGGATTTCTTCGCAGCGCCTCAAAACCCTACCTAGGAGCGCATGGAAGGCACCGACGAAGATCGATCAAACCCTGAGAGCAGGAATATCTACTTTCTCTCTCGGACAAGAAGCTTGGCCAAACCCTAGCTATGGCGTCGCGTAGCTATTGGATATATAAAGAGGGAGCGAGGTCGCATTTACACTGCAAGGCCGGCAGCGAGACCACACGGGGACGATGAAAGATTTTAATTACCAACTATAATCTGTCAGAAACAATCGAATATTCTTAATCGACTAGCATATTCTTGATTCGACTAAACAGGGACTTTGTGGAGCAAGAATTTGACAGGAACAAGATAATAAGCAGTTCACTTTTGGCAGACTGAGAAGCATAAGATGTACTACCTCACACATTCCAAGAGTTTTCATTGATCCTTCATCTTGGTTGTTTTTTTGATCACTCCATTTTATAAAGGTAATAGGCCTTTGTTTTATTGATACTCTACCCTTTGGGTCGAGCCCAACAAGAGCAAACTAAACCAACTAGATGTTAATCAATATATAGGGTGATTCCCTTAAGCCAATTAACAGAGTTGGACTTAAAACCACTCTAATACTAAATATAAGTTTGTTCCCTTTAGTTGTTTACAACAATGTAAAAGTCTGTTAGCCTCTCCCACAAGCAATAAGATGGATGGTGGAAGGAATTCCAAACCTAAACAACTTAGCTTGGATCAATAATTATTGATCCCATTAATGACTTCTCCACTTAGATAGTTTACACATTACAACACTAGTTGTAAAGGAGGACAATTGCCATGCCAAAATATAACAATTACCAGCAATAGTGAACCTTTGGGACTTATCACTATATGTGGAGCACATTTGCTATTTTGAGGTGCCAAGGAGTCAGTGGCTATATACACAATGTACTCAAACACCAAATGGAGTGAATAGCACTATGGGTGATTCGTTTTTGTATTAATCCCTAAAAGACACGAAGCAATGTATATATATGTTGTATCAAACACCAAATGGAGGATGTCTTCCATATACTCAGTTGCAAAGAGTGCTTTTGGGAGTGTTGTGGCTCTTAACTTCTGTTCACGAAAGCATGAATTTATAGGAAAGCATGGTGGATTGCAAGCAACCAAAAGAAATGACTTGAGAGACGATCCATAGGGTTCAAATATAAAGGGAAAGGGCCCAAAAACAAAAGTGTATTTCTTTTTCCAATCGGTTAAAGGTCTTAGGATATTTGGGGTTAAGTGTCCTTGGGTTTGAATAGTACTGGGTTGGATGACCTCCTAAGAAGTCCAAATTTAAAAGTTTATAATTGTTTGGTAAACAAGTTTTTCTCCAAGATGATGGTTGTGGAACTTAATATAAGTAATGGTTTGCCTCCATGCCACTTAATCCTACTCTCTAGGATGAGAATTGTGTATGGGATAAAACTTGCAACTCTTGCTACATGAATTGGAATTTGATATCCTCTAGCATATCCTAGATATATCTTAGTAGATCTAGTGATATGCTAGCAAGTTAACAATACATATAAGGATGAGCATTGCTAACTTGATGTAGGATTGGGAGTGGGTAAAGCAAGCATGCTGGCCACCTATTACAAGTAGTGAGGAAGCCCTAGAAGGCAATAAGTTTCACAGCCATACTTATGTAGCCCCATCCAAAATACCATGAACCAAGTGACTTGCTTGGAAGAGTGAGGTGTGAGACACAAATCCTTAAGCCCTAAATTGGAGCCAAAAGTGTGTCATAGGGCAATGGTCAAAGTGAACAAGTATAACACATTTAAACCAAAAGCTTTAATTTGAAAAATTGAAAGTGGGAGTGGAATTCCCAATGAAGTGCTTATAGGAATGAGCATAAAGAATGAGTCTCTAGAAAGGGATACAAAACTTTAAATTGGAGCCAAAAGTGTGTTATAGAGCAATGGTTAAAGTGAACAAGTATAATACATTTAGACCAAAAGCTTTAATTTGAAAAATTGAAAGTGGGAGTGGAATTCCCAATGAAGTGCTTATAGGAATGAGCACAAAGAATGAGTCTCTAGAAAGGGATACAAGAAAAACTAACACATGATAAATGTCATAAATGGAATACAAGAAGGAGTCCAAAATAAAGTCCAAAAAAAAGTCTAAGATGGAATTTGAAATGGATTCGAGATAGAGTCTGAGATGGAGACAAAGATGGAGTCCAAGAAAGAGTTTGAGATAAAGTTTGAGATAGAGTTCGAGATACAGTCTAAGATGGAGTCTAAGATGAAGTCTGAAATGAACTTGCCCATATTAAACCATATGGCAGTTAAAAAGCTTGTGAAAGAGGAAGCTTTAGCAAGCTAAGGGACAAGGTCCCTATAATGTTCCCAGGAACAATTTTAAGTATATTAATATCTAGAAAGCTAAGTATAACTGGTTTATAAGAATGCGTAAAATTAGAGTAGTGTAGCAGAAACATAGTCTTGAAGTTTACCATAAAGCAAGGCTATCAAAGTTGGAGAAATGGTTCCCAAGTGTTTAAAAGGATGGTTTTGAATGAAAATCAATATTTAAGGACTTTCACACTTATGTAAAAAACCATGTTATGCTAGTTGGAAAACTTGCTAAGTGGGATTAGTAAGTCAAAGGAATAAAGACCTAAGTTGAAGATGCTAACTTTAAAAGGGGTGGCATATGGGGTTAGCATGGAGGAGTCTATGTATGATCGTAAGCTGATTAGCAAGCTTGTCAAGTGAGAGGACTTGAAAGCTCAAAGGAATTAAGTTCCTAAGCTATAATCCATATGTGTTTTGAGTTTAAATTGGTGCATCGATGTGGGGAGTCATATCAGGCATCCTAGGTGATGCCATTTGTAGATGTATATGTGGAGGTTGAGTTCGAGTCCTAAACCTATAACATTTAGGTTCGAGTCTCAAATTTACTAAAGTGTGTTGATGGTTTGAAATATGAGGATACTCATTTTTTAATGATCATAAACTCTTAGTAAGGAGGTTGGCTTGGGCCTATTGCTAAGTTGGGGATGCCTTAAAGTTGTGATGTACAATTAAATTGCTTAGTGTGAAAGTTTGACATATTTAACTTGAACACTTTGGTGTAAATGGCACCAAAGATATGGTGATGGGATAGGGACACTAAATCTTAGTTGCTATGGACCCTTGGCTGGAAGGGTTGGCTTGGGCACATTGCCAAGTGTGGGAGATGCCCCCAAATGTAAACAACCAAAGGGAACGACATGTTGATTGACATCTGGTAAGGGTTCAGTATGCTTCGGTTGGGCTTGACCCGAGAGGTAGGGTGTCAAGAGAGTTGTGGCTCTCAGCTTCCGTTCACGAGGGTGTAAACTTGTAGGGAAGTGTGGTGGATTGTAAACAACTAAAGAGAACGACTTGAAAGATGATCCATAAGGGTTCAAATATAAAGGGAAAGGGCTTATGAACAAGAGTGCACCTCTTTTTCCAATTGGTTAAAGGTCTTGGGATATTTGGGATTAAGTGTCTTTGGGTTTGAATAATATTGGGCTAGGTGACCTCCCGAGAAGTCTAAATTCAAGAGCTTACACCAGAGTTATGGTCAACAACTTAAGGGTTTAGCAAACTTAGTACCTATTGGTAAGCCAGTTAAGGTGTCAATGTTACATTTGGCAAACCAAATGTCATACTTCAAAGTATTGATTTGAACTATAGGTAATGGTGTGATTTCATTAAGGTGACCAAATAGTAAAAACACCTAGGGGAAATGAGCTAACAATACAATGGTATTGTGAGTCCAAAACAGTAGTCTCAAATGAAGGACCCATAATAAAGGTGTAAGATGGTGGTAGGTTGTGGGTAGAACCTATAGTAGAAAATGTTAAAGAGATTTATTAAAGTTGAACATTCTCTACACTTAGCAAAAGTAGAGCTTTTGCTATGAAACTAAAAGGATACCTCAAGAATGGAGGTAATAATTTTAGTGCAATAATCAAATGATATAAGCAAAAACTAATAGCCAAAATGGGTTTTGGAAATTATTGAAAAGAATCTAAATTATAAGTTAGGCAAGAAACCACCATATGGTGGATATTAACAAATTATGGAAAACAAAATATATTTCCAAGGATGGATTTCCCAAATACTCTAGTATAGCAAAAATAAAAGTTCCAAGAAATGGAGCAACAAAGTAGCCAAATAATAAAGCCATCAACAACTTTAGCATAAATCATAAATAAGTGAAACTCAATGCTTAGGGTGGTATGGAATAAAAAAGAGGATGATAGTGCTCTTAAGTGAAGAATTTCTTAGGATAGAGAAATAAAATTTGCACAATATGTGCAATAAAAGGTGTCAGAGACACTTCAAAAATTGACTTGAGAAGTCAAAATTACAATTCCAAAGTGTGATGATTATATTGATAGAAGCTAAAACTACTTAGGAATGAATAATGGGATTAAGGTAGGGAAGGTGTCTTTAACATGTTTAAAGGGAATTAAATAAACATAGTAAAAGGACCATCATATATAATCAAATGAGTTTTTAAGTTGGAGAGATTATGCTCTTTAGAGGATGGGCAAGACATAGTGAGCCTTTTATGTCAAACCATTGATATATATTGGTTTAGTGCTAAGGATGGAAATAGTAATCCATAATAGGGTTACTTTATAAATGGTTTTTTGTTTAATAAGGATATCGAACTTCATCTATGAGTGGTGGAGTTGTGAAATACAAATCCCTAAGCCCTAAAGTGGAGCCAAAAGTGTGTTATATAGCAATAGTTGAAATGGAAGTCAAATAAACATAATATATTGAGTGTCAGGACTGACTCCTAGAAGAAGTCCAGGATAGAGTTTGAAATGGAGTCTGAAATGGAGTTCGAGATAGAGCTTGAGATGGAATTTGAGAAGGAGTCCAAGAAGGAATCCGAGATGGAGTCCAAGATAGAGTCCGAGATGGAGTTCGAGGTCGAGTCCAAAATGGAGGCTGAGACCGGGTTTGAGACTAAAACCGATACTAAGACTAAGACCAAGACTGAGTCCAAGTCCGAGTTTGAGTTTGAGTCCAAGTTAGAGTTCGAGTCCGAGTCCAACTCTAAGTTAGAGTCTGAGTCCGAGTCTGAGTCCAACTTAGAGTCCAAGTCTGACAATGAAAATCCAAAGCAATTGTCTCCC